CTGCTGGCCAGGCATGACCTGGGCCCATGAATGTCTTGACGACGACGATGCATTATCATATACCTCAGTTTAGAATCATATATAGTCTTCGCATCAAAGAAATGATATGGATAATACTTTCTTCACTCTCCATCCTAGTTCATATTTCCCATCTTATACATCCAGCATGGTTTCCGGTATCCTTTTCTGCAGTCGATAGATGGTACGCGGTGTCGAGGGGCTGATAACCATTCTCTCTTAGCTCAGGACTAGTTTAGGTACCGACCCAATAGTTGGGCTGACTATACGGAACTAGTTGACAATCTAGACCAGGACCCAAGACGCCGATCCATTAATGCGGCACCGCACCCGCGCACACCGCCCAGTCGACTTGGATTAATCACATGGGCGATCAGCCGGCGGATCACTGGTCGAGAGGGCAGCCCGCAAGAGACAAGTCACTTGGTCGTGTTCGCCTCACTGTCGTTCGAAAGGAGGGGGGTGGCCGGGATAATCGGCTGAGTGGCTGTGCCATCAGACTCCCGCTGATAAGATGGTCGTCGAAAGTGGAGATCATCAATGGAACGCGGGCAAAAACTCTCCGAAGCACCGTCCTCACGAAAGGACAAAAAAAGAAGGTTATTCGGACGCCGTGACTCCCGTGAGATCCGAGGATTGACCTCAAGAGCTGGGGAGCTTGAGTCACCATACACACTGGGCTCTGTGACGGTTGTTCGGATCCTCGGAATGTACTCTCGTGGTTTCTTCTCATTTAGCTTCATTTCCTTTTTCGGTTGGATTTTCCCTTTGCTCAACTGGCATTCTTCAGTCCGGAGAAAAGAGGCGAACCTCCGTGATTTATACAGCGGCATAACTATGGCATTGATTATCTCATCATCTTCTTAATTTATAGTTACTCATAAGTGGCATTATCCAGGGTCTTGATGAATCTTAATTTATGGCAACAATGTTTGTTCTTTCTTGGTTCGATTCACACGATTTACTTTATGTAGCCATCCAATCAACCCCCATGTCTGTCCACCTGAACAAACAGGCTGATCCGGAACACCATTCAAGCCCTCCTCGAACACACTAGTAGTAGTCCTCAGTAGAATTCCTTAGGGTTTGGTCGGAAGCGTGACCGGAGACCCTCACATGTCACCGCAACGTGACCAGGGCGCCTCACCGCCCTGGCCCCTCCCCCCCCGTGGTTCTCCTGCTGCATCCGGAAACTGCTCGTAAGAGGCTCTTCTGGTAGTAACCGTTCGACTATACGACTATTCGATCTGACGGCGGGTTCCTGTCTGAAGGTTAACCCAAACCCCCTTACTCAAGGGCGCCCCAACCGATCTCGTCGCAAACCATGCCCAGCGTCCTCCGTATCACTCCACTGGCAGCACTTCAGGAGCTTCACAGTGGCTGAGTTGCGACCTGATCTATCCGGATCATTTCAAAGAACACAGACCGGCATTGCTACATCGCAAGCCTCTTGGTGTCTAAGTCCGGCCATATTACTTCTAGGAAAACGAACAAGAATAACACTCTACCATCCACGGCTACGCTCGCTGGAGCGCCATTGAAACCGCACGCTACATCATGAGTTCCACCCCCAAAAGCTCCCTCGATAGCGAGGACCGCGCATCCAACGCTTCCGAACCCTCATCCCAGAATTCACGCATCTCTTCCACGGCTGACAGTCCCCGTCGGAAGTCAATCCAATTCAACATTGGCGGGGCCGAGCCACAGAGTCACCACCGTCGGTCTACGAGCGCCGTCGGGGGGCGCTGGCCACAACAAGAAGCGCAGGACAAAGAACAGAAAGCCACTGGGAGAGGTCATTCGCCTCCGCCACCTCGGTAAGTCGATCATGCTGGTTCTATCTACTCGCGGCCTCGCTAACTCGCGTTCGTAATTATGTAGAACCTACGAGAGAGGTGTTTCTTTCAATACGTTCGATAATCCTGACGCGGCGGACTTCTCTTTAACTCTGAATTACAAACACAAGGGGTATCAGTGCACCCGGCGCAGTCGGACCTTTTTGTGCGGCACAGATCAGAATGATTATTCCGACTTTGCCCTGGAGTGGCTCATTGACGAATTGGTGGATGATGGCGACGAGATCGTGTGCCTTCGAGCCGTGGAGAAGGACTCCACCATCGCAAGCGACGCCGCAATTGAGGAGGGAAAGTACCGTCAAGAAGCGGAGAAGTTGTTCGAGCAGGTGATCCAGAAGAATAGCCAGGACGAGAAGGCAATCAGCTTAGTCTTGGAACTGGCGGTGGGGAAAGTCCAGGATATCATTCAGCGCATGGTACGTTGGGCCTCGTCCCGATCCTGGCACCTTGAGAACAAACTGACAGAACAAGATCCGAATCTACGAGCCCTCAGTACTGATCGTTGGCACCCGTGGCCGTAACTTGGGTGGTGTCCAGGGCCTGCTGCCCGGCTCCGTCTCCAAATACTGCTTACAGCAATCTCCGATTCCTGTGATCGTTGTCCGTCCCTCCACCAAACGGGAAAAGAAGAAGAAGAAGCGTCTTGCGGACCCCACCCGCCGCAGCTATAATCAGATCCTAGAACTGAGCGAGCAGCGTGGAAGTAAGTTATTCGACGCAGGTTCGAGTTCAGACAGTCACGTCTCGAGACTTCCAGACGAAGAAGCTGCTGTAGCCGCGGCTCTCGGTCTGCCTCAGTCGTACGCCAACTCCCGAAGCTCGCTCTCAATGTCCGAGCGGAGCAGTGTTAGCCATGATGAGAATGATTCGCCGTCGCCCAATGGCGGCTCCCCGGGTACCAACCACAGCCCAGCGGCGGGAAGCCCGGAGAGCACCGAAACCGAAAGCACAACGGATGACGAACCTGGTCCCCAGACCAAAACTCCGCCCGAGCGCTCGTCATCGGAGACGGTGTCTACGGAAGAGTCCAAGGCGGTTGATACAGCGTCGACGGACGAGTCCGAGCTGGTCAGCTCTAACCAGAGTACACCAAGGCCAGGCAGTTCTAAGCTGAACATTCCGGTCATTGTCACTGAAGATATGACTGAGAAGGGATCAAATGGCCAGTGAGCCTTGGGTAACACTGCTCTAACGAGCCATCACGACATGCCATTTCAGAACATCCGGGAAAGGGTATCAGCCCTATATTTCCGATAGGAATCATATCATCACACCATCAGCCAACTAGGTCATAACCTCGCTACATAGCTGGAAGCTACAATGGAGAGGAATTCTATGACTACATGAACATCAGGCCGATGCATCACTCTATACAAAGGAAGCATGCACACCATCTCTACTCTCAACGGGCCACTCTGTGTATATCTGACTACGTCTCTACTTCCTCACATAGAGACCAGTCCCGCTTACAAGATGGCTGCACTGTCCATCATCAAACCGAGTATACTACAAGCCTCAACTAATCAGCGATTAACGGGATTCATCACCCCGATGCTCAACCTCAAACCCCACTCCAATACAATAATCTCAGTCATACACCGACAAGGCATAAACATTAGCATCAGCATCAGGACTGCATGAATAGATCTCGCGTCTATGCATAAACCATAGATAGATTAACAATAAACAGACAAACTACTCAATTCATAGAAAGAAATAACCCAGAGAAACCCTCATTCCAACCTAAGTAGAAAATAGAAACCAAAATTCTCAACCAGAGAATATATTTCCGAAGCTGACATTAACCACCAAAACAAACAAATATATAAGATTGGCAAACACTCCATGAAGTAGACACCATACAAGACGCGTTATTATAATATGCTTCAATCATATTCATATTCGTATTCTTATCTTATTCCGAGAATTGAAATATATGAAATCGAGCAACGCCCAAAAATCAAACATATTTATTACCAACATCTACCCAAACAACCGGAAACCTGCTACTCTGCACTGTGCAAAAAGAAAAAGAAAAATTTCAAGCTTTTTGAAGTGGATAGATACTACGTCTATGATAATCCTCTCAGTCTCGAAGGGTTATCATATATATAGATAAGGGATGAATACGAGACAGTTATTCTTAGGAAATATATATATAGATAAGGGATGAATACGAGACAGTTATTCTTAGGAAATATATATATAGGATCACTTATAGGGTGTAGCATGGGAAGAACCGGTCGATGAGTTTACGATGTAGACAGGTAGATGATTACCAGCAAGGCTGAGAGATGCTATACCTTTGATCGAGGGCTAGATAATACACGGAGACAGAACTCAATTGATGACTTTCGGTTTGGTGAGGGACTTGACGTCGGGGATATCATCAACCAATTGAGGAATACAGTCAGGAACGGCAGAACACTATGGACACATCATCACCCGCGAGGGCATGGTATGGAAGGTAGTGAATAGAAAGTGATTGAAGTGAAAAAAGGGAAACTTTTTCTAACGAAGTTTTTGTCTAGCAAAGGGTTTTAGAGAGACATATCATAGCAGATGAAGCAGACATCGCCAGCACACACCAAACCAGTGTAGATGCAATGCATACAAAGATGACTGAAAACGACAGGGGGAAAGAAATAAACACATAAGCTACATCATGCCTGGCATGAGACAAACAAGTAGCCGTGAGAAAGTCTTGTCCTGGTTGGGTCAAACGTCGGTGTCAACGCTTGTCCGGGACGGAAAACTGCTGAAGCAACTCCGGGTATTGAAATGCAAAGGACATAACAAGAAAAACAAAGAGGACATATCAGACATCCCTGCAAGCCAACCTATCTCGCTAGATTCTTCAAAAGCCCCACCTTCATTATGGCATTTCGCTTTTGAAACACAACATTCATTGTACATTATAACGTCGGAAGCACCTCCCTCTTCCAATCAATGGATGGGAACGGAAGAGTGTATAAGCAACCGGGTACCGAAATCATGGACGAGAAGATTAGGAGGAATGAGCATGTGACATGAATAACATGGCATAAGGTTCAACAAAAAGAGAAAAAGAAGTGGGAAATCTTTCCAGAAGAAACGGAATAATTTTCATTATCATTGCCAGAGAATCTATGATGCTTCCTCGCCGTCCTTGGAAGGGGTCTTGGATGGCCGGCGCTCAACGGCGGGTTGTGACTTGGCTAGCAAAGGGGAGGTAGGGTTGGAAGGAGGGGAAGTAGCCATGTTGTCGCGGTCTTCCAAGCTAGCAAGAGCACTATATCAAAGTCAGATGGGGATTTCAAAAATAGACGATGAGTGTGATTCGAAGCTTACCTGAATGCGTTGATCGACGACGCAGCTTCCTTGTCTTCCTTCTTGCCAGCAGGGGGGGTTCCAGTCCGGCTGCTAGCAGCGCTATCATCGCTGCCACGAACCAAGTTGCCGCCAGGGCCAAGGTTCTTCCGGCCGCTGCTGCTGCGAGAGCCCAGCATGCTAGAGGGACCAAAAGACATGGGCTGGCTGGTGTTGCGAGTCGTACGCAGGCGACGGAGGTCGTCACTGCCGACCTTGCTGGAGGCGTAATCCGGAGGAGGTGCCTGGTTGCCATAGCCAGAGTAGCTGCGAGCATCGCCACGGCCCATATTGGGACGGCCACCCCGGTTAGCCTGCTGGCGGAGACGCTCCATCTCGGCCTCTTGTTGCGCGCGAGCAGCCTACAATGACGGTTAGAGAAAAGCATACCAAACACTGCCAAGATACACGTACCTCTTCTCTGATCTGTTGGATAGTCTTGGGGCCCTTGTCGGCGTCCTTGGACTTCCACTTGGCATTACGCAAATCGATGATGTCCTGAAAAAAAGAAAAGGGTGTGTTAGATATGCGTCTATCGTGAATGGGGATCTTGTGGGGCTTACCATGAGCATGAACTTCAGTCGGCTGGGCAGACCTTGGATCTGCACCATGTTGTTAATGCGCTGGAAGTAGACATCCATGAACGTGTGACCCTTCTCAGAGGCGTCAAGGCTGGCACCAATGGTACGCAGCAGACTGGTCAAGCTCTCCACCTCGGCTTCGTCAGGAACACCTTCGTAGTCAACCAGCTTCTTCAAACACTCATGCATGATACGCTCTGTCAACATGCCAAGCTTGTACAGTTCACCAATGAACTTGACGAGACCCAGACCACGACGTTTGGCAGCGGCAGCCTTGTAGTACTCATCCGACATCATGGCAGCCTCCTCAGTCTGGCCTTCAGGTTTAGGAGGCAGATTAACCTTCCAGCCACGTTCGAACTCTTCTTGACAACGGTTGAGCAGGTACTTGCGGAACAGACTACCGCCAACAACGACATTACCGTTCTTGTCGCGGATGTTCTCGTCCTTGATCTCTGGGCTCATGCTTTCAAGCATGCTCTTGCAGAACTTGGCATAGATCGAGGCCCAGTGAGCCTCGTCGGTGGCCTTCTCGAAGGTCAACTGGATCACTTGGCGCAAAGTACGTCCGTCAGACTCGTCCTTGGATTGAGAGACAATTTCCAAGATCTGGCCAGAAATACGGTCGAAGTTCTCGGGAGTCATCTTGTTCAAAGCAGCCTTGACCTTGCGCTGGACCACGTCGGGAGCCAGATAAGCAGCACCAGGGGCAGCAGCAGCCGGCTGAGTAGTCTGGCCCACACTGCGGGGCTTCCAACCGGTGGTTGAAACCTGGAGCGCCGCGACCTCCTTTCCGGCAGTAAGAGGCATGGACTTGGCCATCTCCTCTTCCTTCTTGGCCTGATGCTTCTCGCGCTTGCTGCCGGTGCGGGTGCCCGAACGGTTGGAGCCCGGGCGAGGAGATCCTGGCATCATGGGGTTCGCAGAGTTGGTGCGACTGAGCGCAGGCGAGCCCATCGGCATGGGTCCGCGTCCGAAAGAGCCGAATGGGTTGTTCATAGAAGCGGTACGAGCGGCATTCGCAAGAGCAAAGCGCTGCTCGGAGGTTGAGCCCGGAGGCAGACTCTGCCGGGACGCAGCTTGGCCGAAGCTGCCCATCTGGAATCCCTGGGAAATGCCGGAGCGGGAAGTGTTGCGACCACCCATCATCGGGGTGCGAGCCGACTGTGGGCGAGAGGAGTCGCTATCACCCACGGTCTCACGCACGCGGGCATCCCAGTCGACGGATGGCTTCTCCTTGAACACACTCTGGAACTGAAGCAAGAATTCCTTGTTGTAATGGAACTTGCGATCCGCGGGTGCGCTGGCATTCAAAGCCGGGTTGGGAGACACAATGGAGGCAGGGTAAGAAACCTGGCTCAGGTCCTCGATCAGACGAGCGGAGTGAAGAGACTTCATTGCGGCGCTAGGCTGAGGAGGCTCAACGGCCTTGTTGGTCTCCAACTTGAGCGCAGCAGGCTTCTCACGCTTGCCAGCACTGGCGGGCTTGGCGGGAGGACCCATTGAAGCATCAGAAGTCGGAGTGGCGGTTCCGCTCTCAGCGGGCTCGCCAGATTCCGTCGCAGCCCATCCTCCCTTCTTGAGCGAGGCGAACAGATCCTTGCTCGAAGTCTCTTGCTCACCCGCTTCGCGCTTCTTCATCCGAGCTTCTTCGAGAGCCTCGGCCTCGGCCTCGGCCTTCTTCATGTTGGCCTCGTAGGCTTCCCGCTCCTCTTTCTCCTTACGCTCCTTCTCCTCCTTCTCAGCTTGCTTCTTGGCATAGTAGGCGGCTTCGGCGGCAGCTTCCTTGGCCTCGAGTTCGGCCATTTCCCGCTCGATAGCATCGTAATCAATTTCATCATCGTCAGCAGGAGCAGGAGTGGGGTCGGCGACCTTGGAAGACTCTTCCGCAGCGGGCTTAGCATCCTCGGCCTTGTCCTTCAGGCTGAGTTCCTCAAGGGCCTTGCGCGCGGCTTCCTCATCGGCAGCCTTCTTCTGTGCAGCCTCCTCTTCTTCCTTCTGCTTGCGGGCCGTCTCTTCTTCCTGCTTCTTGCGAGCAGCTTCTTCTTCTTCTTCCTTTTGGCGAGTTACCTCGGTCTCTGCGGCCTCCTTCTTGCGGCGGGCCTCGGCCTCATCCTGCTCGATCTTCTGGCGCACAGCATCCTTCAGCTCCTGCTTCTTTTCCTCATCGGTTTTGGCGGCCTTGGAGTCGGTCCGGGTGTGGTCCGCACCGCTGCTGCTGCGAGGAGGAGGCGTGGCGGTCGGAGTCGCCAACTTCACGGGAGACGGGGTCGCATGAGCGGGAGACGCCGGGGCCTTCTCGAATGTCTTCACCGCACCACTACCAGGGTCCTTGATGACAATGGCACTCTTCTTGCTCGACGGGATGACGAAGTTCTGCACGCCCGGAGCGGGGCTGTTTGAGGGACGGCTGGCGGTATGCGCATGGCCGGAGGCGGGAGGACCAGCTGGGGGCTGACCATGTCCTAAGCTGGAGCCGGGCCGGTCATTGGACACCTGCGAGGGCGAGCGAGACATGGCCTGAGGCGGCTGCTGAGGGGGGTACTGGCCTTGCATGTAGGGGGCTTGCGGGCTGTAGGGCATTCCGGGACGCGGTTGAGGGGACGAGGGGGGACCCATGAACTGCTGCATGGGGTATTGTTGGTAGTAGCCATAGTTGGGGTCAAAGTAAGGGCCCTGGTTCGATTTCATCAACGTTAGATAGTGTTCAAACTGTCCGCTCTCTGGCGCCAGATTGGGCGGTGGAAGTGAGATAGAGGGATGGGGAGGGGGGGCATTGGGGGAAGATAAGACTCGGGGACCAGGCTTCCTCTTGGGGAGGGGGCCGCCACGACGAGGGGGTCTGTTATAACAATGGGTCCTCACAGATTGGTGTGCCATGTGTGGGGGATAAGCGCCGTAGGGCTGGGGCGGTCCCATCGGGACGGTGCTCATTTGCGGCGTCGCGGGGTGTGCAGTGGCCAACGCTGGGCTGCGGTTGGCTTGAGGCGAGTTAGGGAACGGCGGCATCGGGCGTGCTTGGTTGGGTGGATGGTACTGGGGGTTCATACCACCCCGGGGCTGGTTGGGAGTGCGGAAGCTGGGACCAGGCGAGTAGGCCATCTGGCCCTGATAATTCGACTGCGAGTATCCGCGGCCACGGCCACCCTGATGGTAATGACCACCACGACCGGGGCCACTGCCCATGTGGTTACTCATGTCGCTGTGTGTCGACTGAGACGATTCGCGACGCAGATGTGTCGACTGAGGACCGGGACCAAGGGGGGCTTGTGACGGACGAGCCTGCTAGTGGGACGATTATTATTAATCCCGAAAGTTTCCAGGGTGTGCCAAGAGAAAAATAGATCCCAGGATATCACCCGCATTTAAGCTCAACAACTTGCATAAAATCACAAAAAAAAATAAATAAAAAATTCGCTCTCTCTGTCCTTCTCTCCATGCCATGTCTATGGTGTCGTAAAAAAAAACCAAAAAAAAACACGGTACAGAGAAGAGCAAAGGTCGTCACAAAATAGATTCACAAAAAGATTGGGGAAAAAGGAAAGCAAACGGATACCGCCGAAAGTTTACAACGAGGGAAGAAGGAAGAGAAGGGACTTACGTTATCACCTGCATCACCGAAGCTGCCAAAGTTGGGAACATTACCTTGAGCCTGGTATGACGACGGCGGTGGCCGGCCACCGCTCGAGGCGGGCTGAGGAATAGGCGACGGCGAAGTCTGAGGCGAGGTAACACGGGGGTTCGCACTTGGGTTGACACCCAAACCGGACTGAGGCTGGTTGGCCAGCACGGCTGGGTTACCCATATTGGGTGAGGCTGGCTGGTTGGCCGCAAAGCCAAACTGCAAGCTATTGGGACGACTGCTGGGGCCCCCGTTGGGGATGTAGCCTGAGGTGCCGGCGGAGGTGATGGTCACGGAGGGCTTGCGAGAGTGGTCGCCTTGTGCGGAGGTAGGAGCCGGGGCGCCATTGACGATGGTGACGCCGGGGGTCTGAGGTTGCTGCATGGGTTTGCCGCTCACAGGAGATACTGAGGTCGACTTCCCATGTTGCGATGAGCCGCCCACGGTGACGGGAGCGGCGGTCGAGTCCGTCGCGGACTTTTTGGTGGCGCTGGCGTAGGACTTGGTCGCAGCCGGCTGAGAAGAGGGATTCCCAGAGGTTGCAGGAGCGGTAGATTGAGAGGCGGCCTGGTTAGAGGTGCTCTGTCCTTGAGGTTGAAGGCCTGACTTTGGTGGGATCGAGCTCATTAGACAGGTAGGTGAAATGAGTTGTTAAAAACAAAAGCGCTTTTGGTTTGGAGGGGAAGGGGAGAAAGAAAAGAGGAAGAAGGGAAGGGAAAAAAAAGTTTTAAGATAAGCGGGAAGGAGTTTTGATAGTAAGAAGAAAGTAGTGTGGGTGATGTCAAAGCGTGTTACAGCAGAAGGCGAACACACTCCAGATCCCACATCAAATAGATGCCAATTTTATTCTCCCACGGAATTTGGAGGATAAAAAGATTTTTTTTAAGGTATCGGGAAGAAGAACCACCGACACACAAAAAAAAGATTCTCTGATGATCAAGAGAATGAAAAACAAACGTCGTGGGTAAACGACGAAGGAATCCTGGGGTAAAGCAGGAAAAAAAGGGAAAAAGGATAATAAATTCCAAAGAGGGGGGAAGAAAAAGAAGAAGTTGGGAAAGATTTCGCTGGTTCCCTCTTTTTTTCCTTCTGTTCTGGTGGTGCTTTTTTTTTTTTACTGCTCAAAGTGGAAACGAGCGAGACCGACAACGTAAAATAAAAAAATCAAAATAAAAATACCAATTCCGTACGGAAAACACCATACCAACAATGCTGGCAGTGGATATGAACAACACCAAACTGGCGGTATTCCTGATGGACCTCTTAATGATTCCTTTTATTATATTCTAACTGTTTCAAAGAGACAATCAAGGTGAATCTAGGAATTCCATTCTCTCCACCCTATCTTATTATTGTTCTTATTATTATTGTTCTTCTTTTCTTCTTTTCTTCTTTTCCAACAACAGGAATGGCAAAAGGGAAGAGAGAAGGATCGGCGAGTACTCCGTATACCAAAAATACATACCACAATACCCATCCCCACTCCATGTCAGGGAAGAGAGAACCAGCAGGAGCAACGGAGCAATACCATTAGTCTACGACGAACTAATAGTACTAGTAGTAGTAGAGGTGATGTACATTCAACTCTCAGACCGAACAATACAGAAACCAGGCTGGTTACCCGATCGGGAGCAAGTCGGGTTGAGGCGGACGAGTAAAAACAGCGCCAAGCCGTCACGCATTCACAATTTATTCAGCAGTCATTGTTCTTTTGTCGGTTCAGTTATTCCAACCATTCCAATCCAGCTAACTATTGCCTACTCTTTCTTTCCGGCTGTGATTCTGGACCGTGAATTAGATGCTGTTTTAATAATTGGCCCAAGCAGAGCGCACTGGTACCTCTCACGGTCCAACGATCTCTGCCAAGTGGAGCTTCATCAGGAAATCCTCCATTCAAGAGGCTCGTGAAATGGGTTGTAGACACCTCAGGCGTGAATTGCCACGATCCGCAGTCACCCAATCAACCGGACTTTAAACCGAGACGGGGTTAGTGTACCAAAGTCACTGACTCGTCAGCCTCCTTCTCCCATGGACGCCGCCCATCTACAACCAACGCGTACACCCAACTTCACCGACTTCTGTTCAATAGTCACAAGAGATTAGCTAAAAAAGCAGGGTCGGGCGTCGTAGTCTCATCTTCCTGCAAGGCTTGATTGAAGCTATGGGGGGGCGTTGGGCAGCCACCCTGCAGCAGAGTTGATACCGCAGATTGAATATTTATTTATAGCCTAGTATAGCATGATACACAAGATCATCCTGGTTGCCACAGCCTGTCATGGTGCAGTCTGGGTTCGTATCTACTATCTCTTGTAAAGAAACCTTAAAAGAAACCTTACTTCAGCTAGTGAACGGTCCTTGTCGAAGATCTATTGTACTTTTATGGACCCAGGCAAAAACATATAGTTTGTAGCTGGAAGCCGTCTCTCATTGTACCTCGTAGCAACCATTCATGTCAATCTACTGCAAACAACCTCAATATTTACTATAAAAACCCACAAAATCGCCCTTGCACTGCCTGAGAAACACCCCTTATCAATAGAAATGTTTTCACCCCCGAAAGTACCTCCATGCCCCGGCCGCAGCTCGTGGCGCCAAAACCATACCCCGAGCCACGCCATCGACAATAGCGCGTCCATACCCATTCATCGCAGCGCTCTGAACATGCGCAAAGATCCCTTGTCCAACAATAGGTGTTATGTGACTCTGTGCCCATGAAGCTACCGAGCCTATCACATAATGCGTTAGCAGCTGCTATCTCCGATGGAACGTAGGTCACTGGGGCAGGACCAAAAAATACATATATAAATTAGGGGAGAAAGAGGAAACTATACCAGCAGCTGGTCCAGCACTCGTAAATCCAACGGCGTGCATAAGAGGTCCAGTAATCATCCCGGGACAGATAAAGGCCCCGGCTTGCACCGCTCCCCAGAGAACGCTCTTCGGGTTCTCCGAAACATAGTGCGCGGTGTTTTGAGGAAGATTTGTCCAATCTACCTGGGATGCTTGGTCCACCGCATGGTTGACCAGTAGTTTTGAGGTGTTTAGGAGGGACTCCGTGGTGATATTGGTCGGGGTGAGATGTGCTACGATTTGCTAAAGTCGGTCCATGACTCTAGAGAGAGAATTCTTGAAGCCCTGCAGCTGAAGTGAAGGTTTATGGATCGCGTAACTGATCAGCAGTGTTCTTATAGGACTGGCGCGCTAAGGCACGCTAGGTAGTTAGGCAGAAAAAACTAATACTCAAGGAAGAGCACCGTCCCGCAGAGTGAAGACGCCGCAGGGGAATGACGGGCTGAAGGGATGTCATGACGAGGCTGTTGATTTTACTTCTCTATATGGTTCTGCATACGCGCCCACTCGCTAGCGCTTCCGACCACTGCGGCAAGGCGCATTTTACCCGTGAAGAAAAATTTACTCGACCAGTTAAGATTCTCGTTTCTAATTGTTCAGACCATCTATCCTGCATACACACAACCCATTTTGAAGCCAGCAAATACAAAAACAAAGACCGAAAGATAAGAGAAGCGCGAAAGAGCCTGATCACGCTTAATGAGAACCGCGGGATCGAGCCAATTCCTCCGCTGCTCGCGCCGCAAAGTCTATACCAGACGCCCAGTTGCTGCTGGTGGACCGATCACGGATATCCTCGGGTTCGATATGATCAAACGAGTTGTCACTACGGTTCTTCCTCAAAGACGAACCGTGCGCGAGGTCATCGTCTCGTCCGTGTAGGGTTTGCTGTTCCTTCGCCAACGCATTGCGCAGCACTTCCAACATATCCTGCTGGTTTGAGAGGTATTTGGCCTTCTCATCGCGAGACATGCCGGCCATGTCACGGGGCAAGAAGGAGCCGCTGGCCGAGAGTTCCTCCGCTCGTGCCTCCGGAGTCTTACCGGTGGAAGTCATGGATGCCACGGCAGAGCCAATGGCCGAGAGCCAGTCGTTACCCTGGGCAGGGGCGGGGGCATTTCCTCCGGCAGCTGTCGGGACGTTGAACCGGGAGAGAAGCGACTGAGCGTATGCAGCAGGGCCGGTCGCCGGAGGCGGAGGGGCCGCCTGTTGGGCGGGCAGGTGGAAAACATTCTCGCGGACCCAGTCCAGCCCCTGGTAAAAGTATTGGAGGCCCAGCGCCTTGGCACGCTCGTGAGAGCGACCGATGAACTCTTCAATTTCTCGTTCGTGCTGGGCCAGGAACGGGTCAACGTAAGTTTGGTATAGGATCTGGGCACCCTGAGTCTGTGGCAGAACCAGATAGGAAAAGAAGAAGAGACGGATCCAGCTATAGAACGGAAGCCTGTAGAGGATGTGTATTAGACATTTGTATCGTGGTGAGTTCCGGTTGAAGTAACATACCATCCCAAAATCCACACCGTCCAGGACTCAGCCATCAAGATGGCCGACAGGACCACCCAATACATCAGCCATGGTGCTAGCTGAGAGGGGTTCGACGAGCGGAGGGCTTTGAAAGAAGCGAAAATGGGGAAGAGGATGGTAATGACCGAGCTACGCATGAATCCCGTTAGCATTCCGGAAACGGGCAGAAAAGTCTCGGGAGATATAGAACCACAGTTCCGGGATTCCCGCAAATAGGGGTCATATCACTTACGACAACAAATCGGCGATGATTCCAAACATGATGGCAGACGGAGAATATTTCACTTGCTTAGAGACGTCTTAAAACGTGGCCGACGTGAATGAGTTGGCAAGGGTTTGGTAGAATCTTTGGCGGTCAGTGAAACCTTTGCTTTTGCGGGGCAAGAAATGTGATCGGCGAGGCTTCACGCGACCGGCTGAGTACGGACTAAGAAGCGGCCAGCCGCAATGGCAACTAGAAAAAGAGAGGAGAGGAGAAAGATGATTGTCAAGGACGGGTGGTTAGGGGAAAGAAAGAAAGAAAAGGCCAGCACGACACAATGGTGGTTGCCTTAAAGGGAGATCAGCCCTACTGTGATCCATCCACTATTACTCTTACAAGTTTAGCAGATGGAGCTGGAAGAACCATCGACGAGATTAGGGCAACCTTCCCATTTCCGGGATTACGAGTCGCAGCGAATCACACGCTGCTTGACGTCATGATTTAAGGTTAGTTAAATGCCTGGGAAAAGTTTATCCGGACGATATACTAGCAGGTAAGAGTCTACTCCGTACAGTCGTATATATGGCATGAAGCTCAGGTGTTGCTGGTCGAAAGCAACGTGGTTGCTTTGCTATTAACTGCTGAAACTTGTCCGCAGGAAATTGGTTTGGTGTCATATATTCATCCTTCTGACTACGCTTCCAGGTCATACTACTACGTGTCAAATCTTTCAAACAACGACAACAAAACCCGTCAGTGCATCATCGATATGATTCGAAGGATTTATCTAGTACCTTGCAGGAGAGAGAGTCTCAAATCGCACTCTGTACTTTTTGCATCTCAAGACTCCATGTGCTGAGTCATGCAGCCTGGAGTACAATCACGTGAGAAGTTGCTATTTGTGGAAGCGAGCCCCATAATAATAGTGGGTCCAGACAGGCGGTGAGGGGAATCTGCCGGCAGTGTTTCTGCCCGATGACTTCAGTGCCTGTGCTATGTTAGTTCTGGTGTCTGTCCCTCACAACTTTCACAGATTTGGAAATTTAATATCTGTATATCTTTGATGACCTGTTGTTAATTCCATTAATCAAACATATTAAGATTCAAACATATTTGCCAGCGAGAAACTGGTAGCTGCCCCCCTCTAAGCTGCACTATACCCTTGTCCCAATCGCGCACGATAACGACTCGACGCCCCCGAACCGTTAGAATGTGTATTGCATTAATATCTACAGCCCATCCGACTTATTCGCTTATTGTTATCGACAACAGGGATGTATGCGAGCAAATTACATGCAACAGGATCGCCTGATATGCCGTGACCTAACAGTGTCTAGGAATACCTCCGTCGACCAACCGCCCCGGCAGATTGGTGGCCCGAATCAAAATCCAATATATTAGGCGGCCGGGACCTAGCACGAGCTACACAAGGAACATGGATGGGAGTTACGAAGGAGGGAAAGATTGCCGTTTTAACGAACTATCGTGAAGATACGTCCGAGAAGGCTACCGGCACACAAAGTCGAGGTGCTATCGTCAACGGCTGGCTTACGGTCGCCCCTGAGCCTAGAGAGTCTACTCGGGATTTTGCGCAGAGGATGGTAGCAAGTGCCACGGCGAGGAATGTCGGGGGATTTAGCTTGGTGTGCGGCTATGTTGATGAGCCATTGGCTGTGATCTCCAACCGCTCATCCAATATGGATCAAGTTACCTGGCTGGCGACAGAAGAGGGCCAGACGGTGGGACTAAGCAACACACATTTTGATGATCGCTCCTGGCCAAAGATAATCGATGGCGAGAAGCTGATGGTTGAAGTTATCCAGGCACACGTGGAGGCTCGAGAAGATGAAGATCAACTGATTGACAGGCTACTTGGGTTATTAAGCAGGAATACGCTCCGTAGCCTTTCCGAAGGCGCAACTGCGGAAGACTATCTCCCGCACTTCAGGAAGAGTATTTTCATTCCCAAGCTTGGGACCAAGGAGCAACCCACGAGGTCAGCTGATGGTGTAGCCGCAGCTTGTGCTGAGGGAAAAGCGACTAGTGCTAAGCAGGGCGATGAGCTGGACCAGTCATACTTGCATGGTGCGTACGGGACCCAAAAGCAGACCGTTATCCTTGTTAGTAAAGATGGACGGGTGAGGTACTTTGAACGCACCCTTTATGACAATGAGGTGAACGCTATTCCACTTGGCAACGGAGACCGATCGTACGAGTTCCAAGTAACGCAATAATAGTCTCAACAGCTTGCCTGGACTGTCCTGCTCTTCCCGGCCATGATGATTGATTCTTGTACATAGCATAGCATAATTGACATGATGCCCGGTTTTACTCCTATTTGCAGCCGAGTATAACCCCTTTCAGTGCTAGCTGCTGTACAATGAAGTTGCCATCGTAGTAGCAATAGCAGTACTATCAATGGTGACAATAGTAGGAGTGCTATCAATAGCAATCACTATTATCCACCTAAATGCAAGGGCAGGGAGTTCCCTTTGCACGTGTTTGTCTTGACTCGTGCCAGATCAGGTGCATGTTGAGTCACGCAACATTCGGAGATTTTAAATCCATTTCGATTCCTTTAGAGTAATCCCACGCTCTTGGCTTGGAAAGACCTCTTACCACTGGCGCAGAGCGTCATTTGATCTTGATTCTGCCCATCCCCTTTCCTCTCATGCATATACATGGACGTACAATCTACAATTCGACAGGTTCGCCGTATACAGCCACGACGAGTCCACAGAGGCGGAAAATTTTTCTTGGATCCGCTCAGCGCTCGAATCCAGTTCAACTACTAGCTATGATTAGTTGCAAACCTATCAGAGTGGCCGACGAACTAATGTCTCATAGTAGTCGCTACCCAATCGATTGTACCAGCCCCCGATGATCCTTCCACTGATCATATTGTTTCAGTTTCATCGAACAAGCTTTGCTAAGATTTCAACTAATCCCTGGTGTCGTCCACTATTCCAACGTTGGCCGTTAAGGAACTTGCCGAGCACCCACAACGGATTTTGTCGAGGTTCCTCCACCAATCTGCGGAGCCTTTTCGTGTTTCATCTTGATAACATATTTTGCTCACTCTGCGCCCGGCCCCACGAAGTTGGATCTGTAATTTGCCGCAATTTTGCCATAAGAGCGAATAATCATATTTCTGCCAGTCTGTATCCATTCGAATGAGTTGCTTAGTCCGGCTTACGCTTGGTTAGGCTTGCCCTAAGTAATCGGCTATTGGCGCAGGAGCTTGATTCATTTCCGCCAGTCCCACAAGCCCGTGCTTCATAGATGACCGGAGATAGCACCGCGATTTCTCGAGACCACTCACTAGCACCATCGGGGCTGTCTTAATGGTTCCCGGCATGCTGTTCTTGTCAGTAAGCCCCTGAATTAGATTAACATCGCCGACTGCCAGCTAGTCTGAACGCCTCTTCATATCGAGCAGGCAACAACTTGATCGGCCCACGGGGGTACTCGGAATGTGTTCCATCTTAGGAAATGTGTACACTAAGGAAACAGATTCTGGATCAGCCCACAGATTAGCTGTCTCAGAATTCCAGTAGAACTTCCACGGTAGAATTTCTGGCTGAGATTAATGTGGAAACCTGCGGAATCGCCGGACATCTCTCTTTCCAAAGCCGAACGAATATAAAGATGTACGGCTTGCGACGTCTTCTAGTGATGCTCTAACACTCCAAACTCAAGACTGGTTCTTGTCATTCATTCACTCATTCATTCATTCTGTCCTTCATTTCTTCTCTCTTTTTGTCATTCTTTCTTTCCCCGACAAGCTCGGCATACATTCATTCACAATGAGAATCGGCAACTTGATCGTGGCTGCAAGTGCTGCAAGCCTGGTGCATGCTTATCCCACGCGGGATATCAAAAAGCGTGGCTCAGGATTCACCTGTATGTCGAAAAGTAGGCCTTAAAGTTACAGGATCTAACGAATGAGAGTAGGGGTCGGCGTTAGCGAATCTGGCGCCGAGTTCGGATCCAGCATCCCAGGAACACTGGGCACCGACTACACTTGGCCTGATACATCTAAGATTCAGACTCTGAGGGATGATGGAATGAATGTCTTCCGTATCCCCTTTCTCATGGAACGTTTGGCGCCAAACGAGATCACTGGATCTCTGGACGCGACCTACTTGAAAGACCTGAAATCTGTATGTTTCCACCCAACGGACGCTCCTACGATTTTGCTAATGCCTTTGTAGACTGTCCAGGCCATCACTGATAGCGGTGCTTACGCCGTTCTCGATCCCCACAACTACGGAAGATAGTAAGACCTATTCATAGTTTATGTGTTGAGAGGCTATGTGAAGCTAACCATTTACATAGCTCTGGAAGTATCATCTCTTCTACTTCTGACTTCAAAGCCTTCTGGAAGACAGTCGCTGGAGAATTCGCATCGAACGAGAAGGTCATCTTCGATACTAGTAAGACAAGGACATCGCCTACCAATACACATGAATACTAACATATGCAGACAACGAGTACCATGACATGGAACAGTCTCTCGTCCTCAGCCTGAACCAGGCGGCAATTGACGGCATTCGCGCAGCTGGAGCCACGACACAATACATCTTTGTTGAGGGCAACTCGTACTCGGGTGCATGGAAGTGGGCCGATACCAATGACAACCTCAGTCAACTGACTGATCCACAAGACAAGATTGTCTACGAGATGCACCAGTATCTCGACTCGGACGGCTCTGGTACCTCCGAGGCCTGTGCCAGCTCAACCATCGGCAAGGAGAGACTGCAGACCGCCACGCAGTGGTTGAAGACCAACAACAAGAAGGGTTTCCTGGGTGAATTCGCCGGCGGTGTCAACGAGCAGTGCGAGCAGGCTGTCGAGGGTCTCCTCTCTTACATGTCGGACAACTCGGACGTCTGGATGGGTGCCGAATGGTGGTCGGCTGGCCCCTGGTGGGGATCCTACATGTACAGCATGGAGCCGACTGACGGAACTGCCTACTCCACATACCTTCCCATCTTGAAGAAATACTTTGTGGACGGCACTAGCGCTAGCACCGGCTCATCGGCTACTTCTGCAGTCCCATCGACTGCAGCTGCCAGCACCTCGACCTCTGCTAGTGCCTCGACTACTTCCGTATCCTCGACTACCATCAGCGCTGTGGAATCCACCTCCACTAGCAGCGTTGTCGAAGCCCCCTCAACCACCTCAGAAGTCGACACTGCCACACCCACCCCATCTCACCCAGCCCCTCAGCCAACCTCCGACTCGTCCAGCGCTTCTTCCAGTGTTCCCACAAGCAGCGCTCCGACGACTCTTTCGACCGCCTCGGCTTGTGGATACCATACTACCGTCACTGTGACTGCCAGCAAATCTACCGCAGCACCCAGCAGCTCCGCGAGTACCGTCCCTCAATACTACCAGTGCGGTGGCATCAACTATAGCGGACCCAAAGCCTGTGAGAGCGGCTACACCTGCGTCAAGCAGAACCCCTACTACAGCCAGTGTCTCTAAAGGGCCCAGGGACGATGAGGTGGCGAGTTGATTGAATCGATCATCTTCACTTCTGTTGTATATATTACCAGCTTCAGTCTTGGATAGAGCACATCATACAATATTCTCAGTCAACGATGAGGATCATCAATACAACCGGAATATAACCATATAATTAATAGAGAGCCAGCGTAAAATCTTTTCTAAAGTGGTAAAGTCTTCCATTCAGGATGGATCTAGGCCGACCCCAACCTTACTCACATGGAACTTACTCTCAGCCGAACGCGCATTGTTCAAGCAAAATCCGATCATTGACGAACCAGATCCGACACTAAACGGAGACGAAAGCCCGACTGATATCCACCGAGAGTACCCAGTGTTAGTCGCCAGCCGTTTTATCTACTGGTAGACATCTAGTTCCGTAACCTCGCCTTGGAGCTCTAATCTGCCGGTATCAGCAGCATCTTCTGATCGGAATGCTAAGACCGCCGCGTGGGACATGCCCTAAGCAAGATCCACCTGGTCCTGAATGCGTTTTGAATCAGTTCAAGTTAATGTAGTCATGGTGGCTATATTCAGTATCTGAAAATAGTCTCATTCGAAGCACGAGGATCTATTAAATGGACGCTGAACATGACCGGCCATTAACGGCTGCATTTCCGCCAACTATACTTTATACTAGTTACTATCCCTCACCTGCTAAGTATTATTAAGCTATAATATAAGCGCTTACCTTCAGTAAATCCTTAATTGATTGTTGAAGAACCACTCTATTTGACGATCCTTTGGTGACTAGCAGTCCGTTCTTGGCCGTCATCCTAGACAAGGGTCTGTAACACAGCCCAACTGGTTCGCACTATCTATTAGTTGTCGTCATAGATGGGATCACAATTCAGCCGGTTGACTGTACAGCATACTCTAATCCCTGGTCTTGGTGCATAGACAACCTGGCAGCCGACGAAAACGGGCCACGGCCAATATCGTAGCCAGTCGGAAACAGGAAAGCCGAGTAGAGTGGCTGTCCACCCAGGCTTTGCATTCGGGCTGAGTGCAGCCCGCGAAGCTGCATCATATACTCCGCGATCTGTTTTGCAACGCGTTCTTTTGTCCACCCCAGACATGGTAGCCCGGATTTCACTCAAGGGACGGCCGGGAATCCGTTTGGTGAGCAGGAACTATGTCCCGTCGTCTTCCTGCCACTCTTCGACGAGCTTGGGTATGGGTATCGACCCAGAGACCATGCCCCACGATTGCTGACGCCGTGGAAGACTTTCACGTGGCTGCAGCAGCAACACCCTTCTTGGCGTGTTGGCGACCAGCTACATGCCGAGCAGATGTGTTCGGTGTCCATCTAGTTAGGTAAATAGAGGGCAGAGATGGTCTTGTAATAAGTGGGTGGATAACCCTGAAGTGAGGGTTCTTATACGGTGGCCCACACCCGCCATTCACCGCCCACGCGGCCTAATTCAATTAGTAGTATGCTACTTACTATGCGTCTTTTATAGAGTGAAGACAGGGGTAGACAGCCTGGCGGTATAACAAACCCCCTTTATACGGTCCACTATCGCTCCTCCTGGTTTGTTCCTTAAGGCCCTCAAACCAGTGCTTTCCGATATAGTTCGGGATATATAAGATTATCACTACTATTCTTGGGCCAACTAGACAAATGCCGTGGCTACAAGTTGTATGGGAACCCGCAAACTATTTTCAATAGTGGTGTAGATCATCAGATTCATCTACTACTGAGATTTGCAATACTGCCGTGTTATATGTCCTTGTCGATCATTCTCCTAACTTCGACTGTTCAGTTGCAAAATTATAAAAACCCACATTCCCATTTCTCCGATATTCGTGACTTGTGTCTTTTCACTCGCTTTTCCAAACCACTTATTTTGCTAGAAACCTATCAAAGCTAGCCCTCGTTTGAACTACCAAGATGAAGTTCTCCTCAATTATTTTCACTTCTTTATTTATTGCGGCTACTACAGCTATCCCAATCTATGATAACGCAACAAATGGGACAATTGTGCCACAGGGCAGCGATTGTGATAGTCTGAAGAAGGCTATGGATACAATTGAACGCCAGAGGGATGATTTTAGGGCTGCGGCTAATGGGGGTAGGAATGTCGACGCTTTAAAGGGCGCGAACGCTGCCAACAACGATTACATACGGGCCACTAAGGTGGGTGTGATCCGTACGCTTCATCTACACAGATCTATTACTAACCTAGTTAAATAGGAGTTTAGAGAGCATGGTTGTGTGCGGGATTCAGGTGCCTAGTCGAAGGCAGACAAGCAAGGCAGAAAGCCATCAGAGGATGACGATTGCACCAAAAAGGTTATTCACTAATAGGGGCCAATGGGACTGTTCCCAGCTACACTGTGGGACACATTGTGTCTAGCAGTGGGCAGGAGATGTAACAGGGATACGAAAGGAAAGGATACATAACGAAACTCATGTTTCTGTATATAGTTTGGTTTGTACCCAATGTACATACATGGTTACTTATTGTTACACCTGGGGCTTCATAAATGACACTGCAGCCTGGTGGCTATCTTGGTTGGATACGACATACTACAATGACTAGGATATACTAGTGATTGGCAATGATAAGGTGACCGTGAGGTCCGAAGATGATATGATTTGGTCCGTGAATCAACTAGTCCAAGGTCCAAGGGCCAGATTTATTTAAGTACGCATACTCAATAGTTGGATACACACAACTTCACAGTAGCTCTAGGCCGTAGAGCAGGTGGCCCCTTTTAAGCTAGTAACTTTTATCTTCAATGTTCAATGTCGAAAGAACAATCATAGAGTCACAACCACACCACCATCTGCCTTCATTCCAACACTAGTCTAGTAGTCGCTGGTTCCGTCATCTGGGTCTTGGTCAGGAGTGCAGTCATCATCTGTGGCAGAAGAACCGTGGTGGATTGACCATTGTTATAACCGCCGCTGCCAGCCGCACCGTCACTTTGTTAAAAAGTCTTAAGTGTCCACTGCTATGGATTAAGATTAAGCTTGTCTCTCGGATGAGGAAAGCTTATCATGCAGTGTTACTGGACATGTTTTGTCTTGATTTCATGGGAAGAAGGTCAAATACTAGTCCAAGCAAGGTAGTAGTCGAATCTGCCGGATTCTGTCCAATTGACCCCCCGGAAACCATGCCCTAACTCGGCTGCAACAATTACTTAGTATCGTTCCTTGAACCCCTTTTTGTATTAATTTGGTGTAGAATCTCGTTTTTGTTCCCCTTAATTCTTTATATAAATTACTTGTATACACCTCTATAAACTGAGAACTAGACGGATGGTTGTAGTGGGAGAACTTGCTCTATATTACTTCTTGCGCCGTGGCCATACCGTGACCTTTCGTGTTAGATATAAACCTTTAGTATTAGAAGATAATATATAAATAAGCACAATTTGTTGTAGTCTAGTCAGGAACTGTGGGCAGGGAAAGGCACAGAAGCAACTGAGCTATTTGACCAGAGGTGATTTCTGTCGTTAAGACTTAGTCAACAGTGACTTCCAGGGATTTTGGATTTCTAGATAGTAGTTAGGTGATTTGAGATGCTCATTTGAGATCTCCTGGCCCTGGGGCGGAATGGTAGTGTCTCCATGTATGATTGTTTTATTCGTTTCCTTTTATATTTTTAAGTTTGCTACTGTAGGATTTCATGCTTCCTTGTGCCTAGGGACGGGCATTTTGTACCATTTAAAGTTTACACAGAGTATTACTTTAATACTAGTTTTAGTGCAAGGTAAGGTTATCATATTATTTCCTCAAGAGCTAAAAACAAAAAAAAATCATTAGACTATCGTGAATATGCAATCTGGCAAACACCCAACCAGGCACCCTAAGCCCCCTCCCTCAACCTAACAATCACATTCTCCCACGGCGCAGTAGTAAGCGTAGCATTGAAGCGAATGTCCCGGTCCGGCCTCGCATCCACGATTCGATCAAACCTCTGCAGAAGCCGCACAAGCACATACCCAGCCTCCGTCAGCGCGAACTGCTGCCCGATACAGATTCTCGGACCTCCGTTGAACGGCAAATACTCCCACCCGACCTTCAAATCCGCCCAGCGGTCCGGGTTGAACACATCCGCGTCCGCACCCCAGATATCCTTCCGTCGGTGTGTGACAAACACGCTATACACGACCGGCTGGCCCTTGCGGACGTACACGGGTTCGGAGCCGTCCGGTCCTCCGCCGCGGGGCAGGGTGGTATCTTTCGTGGCGATGCGACGGTTCCCTGGGACGATGGGGTAGAGACGGAGGACCTCGTTCATGAAGTAGTGCAGGTAACGGCAGGATTTGAGTGAAGCGAAGGTGATGTTCCTTGGGTTTTCGTAGTCGCCGAAGTCGGCTAAGATAGTGTTGCGGAGTTTCTGGAAGATATCCGGATGGCGCGCGAGGAGGAGCACGCACCAGCTCAGCAGCGAAGCGGTGGTATCTCTGCCCGCGAGGAGGATGTTGAGGAGTTGAGAGCGCAGTTCGACGGGGTCTTGCGTGGCGGCAGTCAGGCCGTGGAGGAAGACGTAGTGGTCCGAGGTGCTCTTTTCGGCGTTGATCTTGCCTTCTTTGACCGCGGCTAGTGCGGCGTCGACGAACCGGTCGACGTAGGCGTGTACGAAGCGGTCCGTTTCGCGGCTTTCTTGGTTGTTGACTATCCAGTAGAGCTTTTCGAAGCGCGAGCGCTGCGCGGCGTACCACTGGCCGCGGTCGAAGTAGGAGGGGAATTTGTCTTCAATGATTCTACCACCGCTGAGTGCGGCGGTTTGACTTTCGACGCTCTCGCCGAAGAGGAATTCCGTGGCAGAGTCGATGGTCAATCGGAAGAAGATGGTTTGGATGTCGATTTCGGGAGTCCATTTGGTGGACGGGTCAGCAAGCATGCCGACCATGGCTTTTTGAACGTGGCGTTCCTCAAGATCGAGGTCGCTGACCTGGTCGCGGGTGAACTGCGGGCGGAGGAGAGACCGTGATCGCGACCAGGCTTCGCCGTCTGCTGAGAACTGGATCAAGATTGGCGGCGTTAGTGATCGTCGTGACTCTGCTGTGTGTGGCAGGGGAACTCACGATGCCGGATCCCAACAGCGGAACCAGAGCATGTCTTCTGACACTCCCGAGCTCGAATTCCTTGAACTGGGTAGCCAGAATGGCTTGCATATTCTTCGGGTCAGAAGTAAAGATGCTCTCCCTTCCCATCTGGCGGAGGCGGAAGGTCGTGACGTATCTTCCTTCACGGGCTGTCATCGTCTCGACGCGCTGCGCCGACAACATAGGGATGAGTTTCTCTTTGTCGGCGCGCAGGACTTCCTTCAACGTGTTGATGCCGAGTATATCACCCGGATAGGTGGGGATCGCACCGCAGTGCCACTTGCGAGCATTTTGAGCATGACGAAAACTTGTAACGATGGACCAAAGGAGACGCAAGACGACCGCGAGGGCCGCAAGAATGAGAAGGGGAATCATGATGGCCTTTATCGTTCCCGGTGGGGGTTTGATGCGGTGCAACAAAGTGGCCAGAAGAAGGGTGGATGTACAGCAATATTTAGCCCTTCCAGTCGATCGACTCAACCTCGGTCACCGAGGGTATAGTCACAGAAGTGGAGAAACATCCTGGCGTAGTGGTGTGTAGGAGACGGGTGAATTTGCTGGAGTGACTTAATCCACAATTAATGCATACTCATATAGATGATTTCATAATAATGCCGCAGCCATTGGCTTAAGCCAGGCGGGCCACCGTCCCACCAAGTCGCCATCTCGCACACCCCGTTCGGTGACGCTGTGAACAGTAACCCACTTGGCGAATGACGAAACGCCGATCCCTCTTGGCTTTGATCATGATTAACGGGGGAGATCGTGGCGAGCGTTGACATCCGGACTATCCTGGCGTGTCGGCGTCACCCGATTTTGCTTGGGAGGGGGGTGGGACAGGCCCCTGATCGGAGTCCGGGGCGGCCGAGCCACTATAACGATCAGATCTTGTACACAAGTATCAGCATGCGGGGGGTGGAGGGCGAAAGGTGGCTACAAAGTTGAACCTTGAGGCAATCATGTGATGGAGGTGCCAGTGACATTTGGTCCCTTCAATGGATCATTGTTCATGTACCAGTCCCACGTACTTGTCAGGTCTGTCCCGAGGCACTAAGGCTGCTACCTAAATGATCCTCGGGCTCCATTCCACCTGACGTGGGATCGCCCATGGTTGTCCATTGACAATACTCGTTAATTAACTAACTACGTAGTTAGTTAATTTACTAGCTAACTAACTAGGTTAACTCGTTACTTGATTCAATTATGTCAGCATCGTATGAAAACCGGTACTTTGTCATGTGGCACAGCGCTAGAATGCACGGTGACGACTCAAACCCGAACCATGACACCAAGACTGAGACAGAAATAGTTCTAGTAGTACGGGGTGTCGAAGCTGATCCTCAAACGTGGGCGGAAGATTATCTTTATGGAGACATGACCTATCACGTCCTTGGATATGTACACGTTGCGAACACCAGTTCAACTGTAGTTGTATTATGCGGCGCCGGCCATTTCACGTCGCATCTCATCCATAGCTAGCATTAACATTCAACATAGCGAGTCTAAAACTCTGGGTATCTATAACATTGACACGAGAGTCGGTCGCGTAGCCATCGTGACGGCCTGCAGGTGATGTCCAACATGGGTCCGTGCGACACTTTAACAGCAGATCTCACAGCACTCGAAGCAAGCCAGACCAGCGCAACTGTACTCGACTCGTTAGCTTGGTTATTGCAATCCTTGTCCCTTACGCTCATTGGAGATGCAGGAAGGTCTCATTGGGCGGGGAAGGGGAACGTACATTCCGCAGCAGATGCCACCGCCATTTCCACCACCACGGAGGCTCATGTTCATCTGCTCCTGGTTGGCCTGTTGGATCATTAGCTAGATGGCACGGGAGATATCATAAACAATGCACGGTAGAACGAGACACGGAAAAATTGTGGTGTGGGGAGGATGTCACGTACAGGCTGCTCAGTCACGACCTGCTGCTGGTTGGGAGCCGCAGGGCTAGTAGGCTGCTCCATAGTGAGAGTGTTGGGGTTCCAGGTCGGCTGCTGGGAGGTCTCTTCCTCCTTAGAAGACTTAAACAAAGAGAAGCCGAACATTTTGATGAGTGAATGTAGTGTTGGTGGACTGAGTGAGTGAGTGAGTGAGTGAGACAGAGAGTTGGATGAACGTTGGAAAGGGGAATGAGAAAAAATTGTCAAAGGATTTCACCAACAAAAGGGACTCAGCGACGAATAAATAATCCTGGTGCCTGTTGATCACGGCACATGATCGGCGAATCCCAAATTTGTGTTAGGTGAGAGAATTACAGGAATGAACGATGGCTGACGCCGTGATTACGGGCCGTTTCATGTAGTCTTAGTCTCCCCTGGGACCCCTCGAGGACCTCCCATGGGGTCCATACGCTACGAGAACTAGTTTGACCGGGGTTTTGAGCGAATTACCTGCTCAGTGGGAAGTTGTTGACAGCTTTTGTTGATGCTGTCCAGGTGCCGGCGTCACAACCGGAGGATCCACTCTTGTCCCGCTCAGCCTTGTCTTAGGGCGGCTGGCCAAGCCTCCTTGGCACTTGCTTGACTGGCTCAGCCTTCCACCAAATATAGCAGCATCTCTTTATTCTATTCTATTCTTGTCGCCGTGACGTGTATCGTGAATCTATCTCGAATCTATCTCGAATCTAGGCTACACTTTCCGCCTCACCAGTCCGCGGAGGAAGTCGAAGCTATTACTGTCGCTCTGCAACTGCCAGATCCGCCCGGTCGGCCGATCGTCCCATCCCAATTCCTCAGCGAGCAATAACCCATAGTCTCGGGTGATGCCCTTGATTCGGGCCCGGGCACCGCCTTCTTCTTCTAACGTGACAACTTGATGCATATGCAACCAGTCGTGGTAATACAGGTCCTCGAATGTCTTATCGAACCCCGTTCGGAGGAAGCGAGTGTGCAACTCTTCGAACGTGGTTAAGATACGCGCCAGGAGCTTTTCCAGAGTGATAGGCGCCGTCTTATTACCGAGGAAGTGTGCGGCCAGCGCGTTCAAAGACGTAGTCGGCGATGTGTTGGTGGCGTTGATGCCGATGCCGACTACGGACGTATATTCACCCGATGAGTAGTGCGAGTTCACCAGGATGCCGCAGATTTTGGTATAGCGCTTCTTATCCGCGTTCTCGGGGTCCAGGGCATCTGTCTAGTCAGCTTAGGAGCGAGCATTCCGGCCCTTCTACAACTCACAGATGTCATTAGGCCATTTCATTTTGACGGGCATCTCCTCGAAGCCTTTGTCGTAGCTCTTGATACCTTGCACCACCGCCATGGCGGCGAGGTACTGGATGAAGACAACCGGCGCAGACTGCATCTTCTCCATCGGGTGGCGGACCACCGTTGAGAAGATGAGGGCTCCCGCGGGCGACACCCACACGTTGGAGCCTCGGCCTCGTCCTGCAACCTGCGTAGTAGCTGTGGCGGTGAAACCGTTCGGCAAGTTGCGAAGAAGCTTTGGGTTTCTAACCTGGTTAGGAACGGTTGACACAACTTAGGGATGAAGGACACACTTTTCTAGGATGGTATTGGTACTCGTAACGACTTCGCCATAGACAATGCTGGAGCCAAATTCCGACGCGCCCTCCCTCATTTGCGATTGGTATTGTCGGAGATTCGAATAGAACGCATGGTGGTTGAAGTAGGGGGTCAGCTTCGACGATGGTACATCCTCGTGGATCACAAGGTGCTTTACAATAGCATTGTAATCGATGATGCCCTCCTCAGACTTACCCGAGTCGTCTTTCGAATCATCCGGAAGGGCCTCCTGTAGCGATTCCATATTCCAAGTCTCAGGCTTCTCGATGCGGAACGTGTCATTCTCATCCTTGAGGTACTGGTGCTCTCCATCGGTGGTGATGTGCTCCTGCAATGACGAAAGAATCGAAGAAGTATCAGCGGGATCGAGGGAAGAGACATGCAGCGAAGAAAGCGAGGGCACGGTCGTCGTGTTCTGCGTGACTTGCAGCCCCAACTTGGTCAAACAAGCCTTGAGGAAGTCCGTCCGCGCCCTGTCGTCCGCAGCCAAGGCATCTACCATTTTTCCGTATTCCGGACCACCGGCGTTTTTATCGAGGTTCACCGCCGCGAATCTATACACATGAGCCTCTGTGTAAACCACCTTTGCAGGATACATACTCCGGATGTGGCCCCGTCAGAACCGCCGCTCCTTCACCCACTTTGCAGTAGACAACAGCCGCCGCACTTGATCCCGAGTCGACATTGAGCTCCTCTGTATAGCTAGCCAGCACCTCGACGCCCTTATCCGCGTACGAGGACGCATCCACAAAGACGCCGCCGCCATTGTAATAAGACCGGAAGCTCTCCGGCACAATTCCCACATTCAAGGCCGCCTTGGAGACCTTCAGCTCCGCCGCCCGCGCACCGGCCTCACTATGATAAACGAACCCAGGGAACGCACATCCCCGACAGATCCCCGGGAAGAAAGCCAGCTCGCGATCGCCAATCACCTCGTAGGTTTTATCGCCGACCTCGAACTCGCACCGTTTGCAGCCGTAGTAGCCCCCCGCACAGAAGCCCAAGTAGGCGCCACCTCGGCGGACAAACTGTTCGATTCGGCGGTTACCTGGGCCATTCAAGGCTCGACAATATCCGAGATCGGCTCCGCCGGGGATCACGAGTAGAGCGCAGGTGAGGGCCCAAGGCTCCTTGATGAGCATGTCGGCCGTCACGGGGATCACCGCATAGTGGGGGGCGAGCAGGCGGCGGAGAGTGTAGAGGCAGTGGCGGACGGATTCAACGGTGGTTCCATTGCCTGCAGAAACAGATAGTATTTAGTATAATGTGAAATCGAACCACGTAGATTCGGACATACCGGTGTAGACCAGGACGTTGACCCTCTTCCCCGTGGTGTTGGGGCCTGCGGATGTCATTTCGGAGTTCAAGAATTCCCTCCGACAATTCCTCGTCCTGACAAACAACTACTCCCAGCTGTCCTATTCACCTGCAATTATTTCAGTCACAATGTCACCCAAGGAACAGAACCCGCGAGTGGTCGTGGACGTGGACGACGACGAGCCGGATGAGTGGTAAGAGAGAATGAAGTTGATTGCGGAGAAATGAATGACTGTTCGGTGGTGAACTGACGCGGGGAATCCGTCTATAGGGATAAGCGGATCTTCAGCACGGGCTGCTCAGGTGGGCTGCTACTGTGGACGGCTAACACCGGAAGATCGCTGGACTGACCCTGCGTAGTGGAGCAGGACAAAATGAACGACTGTTACTTTGCGAAGAAGGACTGGCGGGCGTGCAAGAAAGAGGTGCGTTGGTTCCCGATACCGTGTATCCCAACCCCCAACCCCCCAACACTACCGTAGCAACCACCACATGGGTATCCTCATGCGCTGTCACACATACCCATCTGCTTCAATCCAGACCTGGCACTCAACGTTGAGCCCAATGGACAGGCTGCTAATAATATGCCAATCATACAGATGGAGGCGTTCCGCGAATGCTGGAAGCGCAAGGGCAACGACGAGCGCACCCAAACGAAGGACGCCTAAGCCTGCTACCCTTACTCTGTGTACCCTAGACCCCTATGTATTACTACCACTATGCATCATGTACCATAATCAGATCCAATCCATCTCCCCTCTTGCACGAAACAAAGACACGCCCCATCACGTGACCATATCAAAGCTACCAACGTAACATCAGAAAACGCGCCTCACTCCGCATCCCAGGACAACGACAGCTCCCAATCCACCCAACCGACCCCAAAATGTCCCTTCCCCGCAGCCTACGGGCAGCAGAAACGCTGCTGTCGCGAACAAAAGCACCCATCCGCCCCCAACTCCGCACCCTCACCACCGCCCCGCATCGACAACAGCAACAACAAACACCCAAACCACCCACCACCACCACCAACAATAACAATAACAACACTCCAGCAACTCCAGCAAAGCAAGCCGCCAAAATCCTCTCTCCAACCCCAAGCACGCCGACCACGCAGAACATCTCCAAACCGGGCTCGCCGACAGACCCCTGGAGCTGGACACCCCCCCAGAAGAGAAGATCGACTGGACGCGCTCCTTCCACGGGCTCTCGGCGGAGCCGTTCCCCAAAGAAGCAGCCGATATCCTCCTCGCCGAGACGGACCCAGAAGAAGTGGAGATTAAGCCCGATGGCATCCTCTACCTGCCGGAGATCAAGTACCGACGGATCTTGAATCGCGCGTTTGGACCCGGTGGCTGGGGGCTTGTGCCGCGCAGTGAGAGTATCGTTACCCCGAAGACGGTGACGAGGGAGTATGCTTTGGTTTGTAATGGACGGTATGTTGCTTTTTCGCTTTCGAGTTGCTAGAGTGGGGCTGTGTGTTGGGTTTGGGCTAATGATTGTGTGTGTGTGTGTGTGTGTGTGTAGACTTGTTTCCGTTGCGCGTGGTGAACAGGATTACTTCTCCCCTGACGGCATTCCAACCGCGACGGAGGGGTGTCGGTCTAATGCGCTGGTGCGGTGTTGCAAGGATCTAGGTATTGCGAGCGAGTTGTGGGATCCGCGCTGGATCCGCAAGTACAAGGCGCAGTACACGCGGGAAGTGTTTGTGGAGCACGTGGTGAACAAGCGGAAGTCGAAGATCTGGGTGAGGAAGGGTGATGAGGTTTCGTATCCGTGGAAGGAGCTGAAGTAAAGTGAACCATTGTGTTTTACTGGGTGAGGTGATGTCTTTGGAGGTTCTGGGCTGTTGATTGTGATACCCGTCACACTTTGTACTATAGGTTTCTTATGATAATTTGTATTATGAAATATCTCCCATTTGTTCAGACTTGGCTTGTATGGGTAATACTGGTAAACGGAAAAAGTGACTGCTGGTTTATATCGCTGGATGGAAGACACATCATCGTACACGCATTGATTTCCGGACATAGTTACTGTTCACAGCTGGTATTACATAACGCCTAAATTTATAAAACAATTCATACCCTTTTGATCATTTCTTATGTATTCTTTTGACTTGTTATTCACCGAGGGTTGTTGTTTGCTCCGTATTGCGATGTGCGCGAGACGAATGCACCAGGCATCCGTTCGTTGGAGGGGTGTTGTTCGCCGGTCGGCGACTGATTCATTTGCGGCGACGGGTATTCCCCGTAGACCTCCTGCTCCGAGGGCTGCGGCATAGAGGGTAGCTCATACCGCTGGCTGGAGTCATACGGATTGTCCTCGTAGTAGTGGCCCGGGTAGGGCTGGAAGTCCGCTGCCGGTGGTGGCGGCAGTGGTGCAGAGGGCGGTGGGGCTGGAGCCGTGGTGGCATGTCGGGGCGGAACGGGCGCAGCGAGGATGGGAACACCGCCTGTGGCAGTGGGATAGGTGCTCTGGATGCTCTGGAGGCTCTGTGTGCTGTTGGCCTTGCGACGGCCGGTCGATGGCTCGCGGTTAAGGGTGCCATGGGGGACGCTCAACTGATCCTTTCTTGGGGAGACGACGGGCGATTGTAAGCTTTCCGCGTCGGGTCTCTCGCCTTCCCCGGTGGAGCGGTTGGAATCGACGAAGGTGCCTTGGCTGTAAGAGCTGGCTGAGGCCCCGCCTCCACGACGCTGCAAGGATCCAGAATCCCGGCCAAGGTCAAGTCCGGTCGAGCGCGAGTCGCCGTATGGCATGGTCGAATCGTGGAGGCTATCCGTCGCGGTGAGTCCGGACACAGCCATCTTGTCGGTGTTGAGGCCAGGGCCGTTGTTATCACCGCCATCGGGCTTATCATCGTTGTTGTCCTCCGCTGCAGGTTCCTCATCCGCTGCACCCGGGGCGCGGATAGGAATCTTGCGGATAGCCGCAACTAATGCGCACATGAACTTGGAGCGACGAGCTGCGCGAACCGACTCAATGGCCCAGTTGGATTTATGGCAGATGGTGACGGCGAGCTCCAGCTTATCCATATCACCCACCCCAGCGACATCGATGCTCACATCCGGCTGGAAGTCACGGCTGTTCTCCTTGTCGCGCACAAAGACCTCCATTTCTTGCCGAAGCAGTTCGATATCGGAGAAGTTCGTGCCAAATTTGATGGGAATGGTCAACGTTTCATGCATGGCATTAGAACGGGTGAAATTATCAATCCAAAGCGTGTTCAGCACGACGTTCGGAACCTGAGTGGTTCGACGATCGGTCACACTGGTAAAGACCGAGAAAAGCAATGAGATACGTTCCACTGTGTATGGCTTGCTGTCGATTTCCACCCGATCGCCGACGTCGAAAGGATGTTTCACAAACAAAAAGATACAGGAACCAAGGACTTCTTGAGCGGAGGTGGCGAAGACAAAACTCAGGGATAGCAGAGAGGTGGCACCCGCAGCGATCACCGTGCCAAAGCCGCTGGTCACGAATGAGACAAAGACCAAAACGCTGATACCGAACGCAATCGTCATCAACAGATTGTCCAAAACGTGAATCGCCTGGTCAACATCATGCATGCTGTGGTTCAGTGCCTTCCTTCCGCGGCCAATCTCCCCAACAGTTAGGATCATCTCGTCCAAACTGATATCGCCATTGCCGTCCCGGTCCAAAATCTGGAAGCATTCCTCCGCCTCCGCTTCCTTGCCGGTACCCAACACCTCGGCAATATCTTCGAAATACAGCGCTTCTCGCCCCTCGATGACGAACGACATCCAGATTCGGCGGGCCAGGGCTTCCGACGACCTCTTGCGTTCCAACGCGAGCGTGACGATGGAGCGAGCGGAGTTGGGATTGAACACTTCTTTGCCCGTGAGCTCTTGCGCGACGTCACCGAATGCCGCCGTCACCTTGTCGCCGATCCGGCCCACATTTTGCCCAACTTCTCGAATCAATCGCAAGGGGACCGAGCCCGAGCGCGGCATTCCCTTCACCTTGCTTGCGATGATGTCGGTCATCGCGGCATCCTCGTCGCGAAACTCCTTACAATACATGGGGAACATACTCCGCGACGCATCGTACAGTTCCCCCAGGAGGGTGACGTTGCGCTTGGATTCTTTGATCTTCTTATCGAATTGCTTCCGGTGATAACTGATCGAGATCAGCTGAACGATAGCTTTCTCGGCGAGAAAAATCAGACTGCAGACGAATAAGGCAAACAGAATGTTCTTGATGGTTTTCTCCCACGACTTGGCTCCCGTGTCGTTCTCCGCCTTCTTGACGGGGTTCAACGTCATGATCTACATGCGGTTGGATTAGCACGTCGACTGCTGCAACATCGGATGGTGGAACATACCGGTAGGAAGGTGACCAGGGAGACCACCGCCCAGAGGACGGTGGCGATGGGAAATTTCAGGCTCCGTAGAATCAAGGCATACTTGCGGGTGCCGGAGCTGACGATACCGACCAGGAACTGGAAAACATAGGGGAGGAAGTGGGCGAAGAGTTTGCACACCCACAAACTGAGCCAGACGACTTCAATCCAGGTAAAAAACCAATGCAAGGGCACGCCGCCAATCCTCGTCTCTTGGCGGACCGTGGCACCGACAATGATGGGAATTGCAATCAAGAGCGCCAGGGGAGTCACGTAGATGAGGTATCTGGTGATGATGGAGAAGTTGAAGATTGCTTGATAGATGCGCCCCATGCGCGTCAGAGTCCCATCTTCTGGGTCATCCAACGACCGCCCCCGCGCCGAATCAATTCGTTTGCGACGCCCCGGACCGGTGACTAGGGCGGCCTTTTCTTCGGCACCGGCCTCTCCCGGCGATTCATACAGATTGGGGTCTGGGCTCGCTGGGTTGATACTGGTCTTGCGAGCGCCCGTTTGTCCCCGGCTAGGAACGGGGTTTAAGGGAATTTCAATGGTGACATCGTTTGGGTTGGCCATGCCGTCACCAGAATAATCAGGGATCTGTTGGAAGCGATGTGCCGACAGTCGCTTTTCAGCGAGTCCAGGCCGAGTCGACATTAGAGCTGCAGATGCGGCACGAGCAGTGGGATTGACGGCCAGTTATATTTTTGAAAGAGCGACAGCTGTCCAGCAGCACAAAGAGGGGTAAAATTAGTAACTGCGAGCGAGCGACTCCAAGGAACGGTCGATTTAGGTTATCGAATGGCAAGCATCAAGAAAGATTCTAGATGCCACTCCCACTGGTTCTTGTGGGGGAGAGGTGGGTCAAACCCAGCACCAAAGGTGAAGCAGGAAAAGATCAACAGATCAAATTCGTATCTGAAAAAAAGAGCGTAACTCGTGGAAAGAGGGTGAGGGAAGGATCGGGGAGATTGATACGAGACAAACGAAGGACGGTCAATCTGGTCAGGAGGTAAGTAATATGGAGACAGAGAAAAAGAAGGGGAAAGGAAGACAGAAAGAAGTGTGCGAAGAAGCAACAAGTGTACGACGGGGACCACTCAGGGCGAGAAAGGAAAAATAAAAACTCAAAAAATCAGAAAACCAAAAAAGCCACCTCAGGCTATTCCAGGCACCGTCATGGGGCGGGCGTGTTTCACCATCGATTAGAATCTGGTGGTTCCCGTCTTGACACACATACAACTGCATCGCGTCATGAACGGGGAATTCTGGCTGGAATTCTCTCGGGCCAGTCCATTCTTGACTTCATTCCCAGGGCGTGTAAGGTTTTGCCCATCCTAGGAGATTCTTTCTCCGAGGGGAGAGATCCCATCCATCGTGACTTTCGACTAGTCATACTGAGTACATAGTAGACCTACTAGTACCCGTGGACGTCGTACTATGTAAAAGAGGATGAAGACCGGGTGGATATTCGAGGTGACGAACACCCAATCAGCCCTGTGGATGGTCAATGGACGATCTTTTTTTCAATTTTCGATTTTCTTTTTGTGCTTTGCAGCCCGTGACCCTGCCAAGTCTCCGGCCGTCTCCACCACGAGAAAAAATATCACCCGAATGGTATCTGATTGGCTGGAAGTTCAACGCCGGCTGCCTGAATGGGTAACGCAACTGTACCGTAATCTGGCCAGGGCTCAGAGACGTTACTACTAGTATTATTAGAGTCTTGTATGTTCCTTGTATTTAATTAGATCGTAGTACATATACGTATTCTCTGGGTTGGATTGATCCATCGTGACTTGGTCTAGAGCATTTGCATTGTCTCAAGAGATCGGTCGCTCCGCTCTATTCCCAAATTAGGTAAAATCTGACACGTACCGACCAGCAAAATTCAATGGTGGACATAAATCAAATTGGATTGATAATATTCTTCGCAAGGATCCCAAAGTGGCGGAATTGAATTGAAACCAAAGTGGCAAACCCGACCCGGGTGCACATCTCTAGCCGAGGGGGTAACTCTTGCTCAACGTGAAATAGTCAACTCCTAGTACGAGTATAATTCTGGGGATCGACAATGAGATATTGATGACATCGGATGGGGCATATCCAACGATGGCCCCGGGGTGACTACGCAGGACAACGTACCAGCTCCTGTTCCTTCATTGGGAACTGGTGCAAGAAACCAACTTCACAATGCTTTTTTGTCTGTCTCTTCCTGTGTATCCCTCGATCGATCCGATCTGGACTGACGTAAAACGCCCATCAGAGTCCCTTGGTTAAGCTCACCGTTAGTGACCCGACCAATGGCCAATCGATGGGCCCCGTCAAACAACAACTTTCAAGGAACCAATAAAAAAACGTGACTTCCCCGACGATCGTCGTGGCCATTGCGTTGGTCCTCTGCAAAACTCGCCATCTCAGACAGCAAGATCATGTTGGAGTGTTGGAGAGGGGAAGTGGGTCTGCTCTCGACGTGGTAACATCATTATTGCGTTGAAACGTGTGTTTCTACATCTACTATTACAGGACTGCAGAGTATTGCGGTGAACGACGGGGCATCTGGAATGTTGATCAACCATCATAGATGCATAAAGCGGGGTCGGTAGTGGCATGAACAAGAAGCGAGTACAATGGGATCACTCAACTGATCCGGTATTGAAAAGAGTGCCCTCATAGAGTGTATCTCACAGTTGAAGATGGTCGGTCAACCCTATATCGACAGACACATACTCTAGAGAGTCCTCCGTACCGTCGTGGTTAAAGTATCGGAGTCGGACTGAAATTTGACCCCGACATATAAATGCACAGACCATCACAGAAGTGAATATTATAATCCTAGGGACTGTTGATCAATTGGGGTTTCACGTTACTGAAGTTGGTACCTAGAGATATGTACAGTGTAGATGCTTCCATCGACTTGAAAATGGACGAGATAAGATCAAAGCAGAATATCGAAATGCCAAGAATTTCATGAATTTCAAAATGCCAAAATGTCATGTAATTCAATATAGAAATTTTGAAACGCCAGTTGGGATATCAATCAACCCGTCCATTGTACACATACCTTGTGAAATTGACCATGTACTAGTAATTACACTCTCGAAGCATCATATTCACCAAAGTGGCAATTGGAAGGACACTAAAATGTCTGAGACGGATTCGGGACTTGAATTTCAAAATGTCAAAATGCCAAGAATTTCATGAATTTCAATGTCATTTGCTTATTACCTAATAGAGTGTTTCTCCAGAACTTCAACGTTTCAACTTGTAACTTTACTCTGTACTCCTTCAAAGGAAGAAGAAATGGTCAAAGCCACTTACTTTTTGTCTCTTGCTGGAGATGAAGCATTGGTATGCACACGTTCTCGGAAGTGACAAGGTTTATATATATACTAAACAGGTCCGAGATGCCCTGTTCCTTGAGCAGATGCAGGACTCGGGTGCAACAGTCTACCTAGTTTATGGTTTCTACCAGTGAAACAGAGCATGAGTCCGTTGAAGTTGAAAGCTTAGTACTAGTAGTACTTTCAGTTTTAACTTCGAAATATTTCCGGCCTTGATGAATGCTCCCCCTCTTGATACAACCCTGACCGAATCACCTTGGACCATTGCACAGTATTACAGACAGTTCAAGAAACTGTTCAAGAAACTGTTAAACAATATACGAGTCGCTATATCTGCCTAATATTCTACTCCCCGCTGTCTCTCACATTAATTACCCTTGAGGTTGAACCTTCTGGAATGGCAATCTTGTGAACGGTTGCCGGCATTCATCAAAAAACTAGCAACACAACCTCTTCGACCAAAAAGCCACAGTTAACCCGAGTAAAGTACTAAGTACTGTCATCTGCTGCCTCACTCCAAAAACAAACAGCTCCCGGATTACAACCCCCTACGTCTCATCAGACAGCGCCAAATGCACCGGCAGCAGCAAGATTTGCGAGCTGGCGAGCGACATAACATGATCAACTCCATCAAAGCGACCGTGACTCCAACCAAAAGGAGACGAGTGTAGCGACATGAATTGTGGATGTGTCTGCACATTCGTACTAGCCATATGCCGAATCAGATATTGGCCCTGCGCCGGATCCAAAACACTGATATAGAACACGTTCGCATTTTGGGTGGTATTATCAGGGACATGGGGTAAAGTAATGTACCCCTTGCGGACCAAAGGTAACAGACGGACAAAATAACCGTCCCATATATGCCTTCTGTGCGCATTGATACCATCCGCGGCTTGCAATTGTGTCTATAGAAACGCAGCCTGCAGCTCAGAAAGAGTGGCATTCAACCCCAGATCTTGCCACTGGTAGCGATCAACTTCGCCACGCCTGAAGCGCGAACGATTGGTCCCGTGGCCGCAGAGAATCTCGGCTCGCTCGACGAGCGCTCAATCATTGACTAGATGGGCACCTCCCTGACCCCCCGCTGTGAAGTTCTTCTTTTCCTGAAAGCTGAGATAACCGACGCTGCCGATCATGCCGAGCATCTGGCCCTTGTAGGTGGACGTGCATGCCATGGCTGCATCCTCGCAGACCAATAGCTAGTGCTCGGCCGTTATTGTCTGTCATGAACTGTTCCAGCCATCGCTCATAGAGCCGGGTGTGTTTTCCCTTGTCGGACAGGTTGTTCAGAGTGAGGAAATCTTCGATATTGGCCAATTTGATGCCAATGAGGGTGGTGCAGGTTGTAAGAATAGTATTTGGTGTGCTGATCCATATTCGGAAGTGTTGCTTATGTGCCCGAATCTCGAGGGACACACAAAAGGTAAGCGCCATGATTAAGTGCGCCACTGAAAATCCATACGCGGACCAGAAAGCAGGAATTGTGTATTTTAAACCAGACAGAACACACCACATTGGAGGATATTTGGTGACACAGGGCCCACCTGGCAGGGGAGACTTTCTTTCAGTTGGAACCGGGCGCTGACCCTCGGAAGATATAAATACGAATCCCGGACGGATGCAAGATAGAATCATTGAATTTTTCATGGTAATTGTATCATAGACCACGATGGAAGAAAAGTTCCACTTACACTGGGGCATCCTGGGTACGTACTTACAATGCATCATGGCTATATCTCAGCACAGGAAGAACAATATTAATACCGTACGGATACAGGCATAAGACACATCGCCGAGGGTATGTCTTTCCTCTCAAGCCAAAGCGAAACTTTTCTAATAAGTACAGCTTTCGCAAAAGACCTCCTTATCGACCCGGCCACAAGAGATCGAAACGATATCGTCCATCTCCTTTACGGGGTAGCGTCGTCTCGCTCAGTAAACGTCGCCCAGGAATTCCTGACCACAGTCTAAGCCCCATCCTACTGTCAAGCATATGGCAACTACTCTGATTTAGTTAACTGCGCTACCATCGACGTGATCTATATCGCGACACCGCATTCCCACCACTTCCAGAATGCCATGCTAGCGCTCACAGCAGGAAAACATGTACTGTGTGAGAAAAGCCTGACTGTGAACGCTGCGCAAGCCAAGAAGCTGTTCGCCGTGGCGGAGCGCATGTAGCGGTTTCTTATGGAGGGATTATGGACACGGTTCCTCCCAGTTAGTGTCGAGGTGCGTCGACTTCTCCAAGCCGGTGTGATAGGGACCGTCACCCGTGTCTTTGCAGACCATGGTCTGGGGATGGACCCATACTGGGACATTCTTCCGAATGACCGCATGATTGCGAAAGAGCTGGCTGGCGGGGCGCTGTTAGACCGTGAGTTCAAATGTCCGTCGGGAAAGCCTCATAACTGACGGTATATCAATCAGTTGGCGTCTACTCCATCCACTGGGTCCTCCAAGCCATCGCCAAGGGGAATCGTCGCCCGATTCAGATCCTCTCCACCATGACAAAATACCCTATAACGGGAGTCGACGAAACGACCACCATCTTGATGAAATTCGCACCCAGCACAGCAGAGAGACCCGGGATACAAGCCATAGCCAGCGCCAGCCTACGCGCCAAAACCGACTCAGACGGCGAGACAGCCGCGGTCCGCATCCAAGGCGATCAGGGCGAAATCCAACTCTTCGGTTGGCCGTGGTGTCCGTCCCGGCTACGGGCCATTAAACGAAGCCCCGGAATGGACAGCCCGGGCACGATCAGCATCGACAAGACCAAGCTTATATCCGACGATCTAGACGGACTCTGCTACGAGGCGGATGAGGTCGCACGTTGCATTCGTCGAGGGCTCCTAGAGAGTCCCAAGATGCCCTGGCTAGAGAGCCTGACCGTCATGGAGATCATGGATACAGTGCGACGGGAGAATGACCTCAAATTCCCCGAGGAAATCGAGACAGTGGAGTATCCTGTAGCACTACCAGCTAAAAGATCCTGAAACCAGCATTGCTATTCAATAATTACATATAACCACTAATGTACATCATCTTCAACATCCTCCTTCCCACATCCTCCCGTAAAAACAACCACCAAAACCACCGCAACAAGACCAACCCCCCCCATCGAAAGAGTCAACCCCCCCCAACCAGCCCATTCCCTTATATACCCCGCATAAAGCGTCCCACAAGAGTCCCAGCCGCAAAAGCAGCATTACTCAGGCCATACGCCTGCGAATACGCACCGGACCCCCTCGGATGCAACGCCTCAGCCGCCATACTAAATTCCGTCATGAGGGCAGGCATGGCCATGGACATGCCGCACCCAAACAGGAAGAGAAACACACGGAGAAGCACTGAGTGCAGGATCGTATTCTGCTGAATCAGACCCAGAAGCATCATGCTCGGGGCCGTGAGCGCAAAGCCCGAAAGAGCCGGCCGGAAGGGACCGACCCGGTCCACGCAGTAGCCGGCTAGAGGCGAGAGAACCATTAGAGGGAGGGAGTGGGAGAGAAAGACGATGGCGATCTGGCTGGGTGTGTAGTGGAAGAGGGCCTGGAGGTAGACTGGGAGAACGGCCTCAAGGGCTGTCATGAATGTGTTGAGCATGCACATGCCTGTCATGGCGATTAGGAAGCGGGGGGTGCGGAGCAGGAGGAGAAGGGTTGGGGGTGATGATTGTGATTGTTCATCGTGTAGGAGAGGTGATTCTTCGGGCGATGGATGGTGTTCGGACGATGGAGGGTGTTTATATCCGGGTGGTAGGGGTTTGAGGAATAGGCAGAAGATAATCTCGATGGTTATGAGTGCGAATGCCGGGGTAAAGACGGCCACATAGCCGGCTATATCGTAGATGAAGCCGCCGATGATGGGGCCGGCGAAGAGCCCGAGACTCAAGCCCAGGTTGGTAAAGCCTAGGGCGCTCCCGATGTGGTTGCTTCCGACTGTGTTGAGCAGGAGACTGTAGCCGATTGTGAAGACGCTGGAGGTGGACAGACCCTGTAGCACTCGGGCTAGAAGAAATAAAGAGAGGGAGGTCGTGAGGGCGGTTAGAAGAGTGGCGCTGCCTACGAGAATTAGGCCGAGTAGGAATGGGCCTTGTCTTGTCTTCGAGTGATCGCCTATCCAGCCGAAGAGTACTGCAGATTTGGGGAGTTCATGTTAGACGGACTGTCTCAGGGTTTTAAAGATGTAGAGATGGGTTGTTAGTGCATACGAGATCCCACAAAAATAGAGGCTCCATAGATGGCCAGAAAGGCTGAGGCCCAGAGTTGGATATCATTCTCTGGCAAGCCCATTCGCACCTTTAGGGCAAAGGGCAACACAGGTACAATCAGTCCATAGAGGAAAATGTCGGTGAAGATAGCGACACTAACAACCAACGTAACAAAGACACGCGAGGACCGCCATCCGGTGTGAGAGATCATCTTGAATAGGAAGGCCTGTAGCAACAAGAAGATGACGAAGAATGATCAATCGCCCAGACAGTGGCGGGAACGAAGAGAATGCGTGGTTATACGCTGGCGATAGTTTGCTACTCGGTGATTTCATTCCAGCTCACGTCAGCATGTCGACAGGCTAATATCTAAGGTTCCAATCTATCTAAGGAGAAGCAAAGCCAGCATTTAGGTCAGATGCTCGATCCGCTCCGTTCCATCCAGTAGCTCCTCGTCCTTGAAGAGTTGATACATCTGCGACAGCCAATATCGTCCGTGGTTCTGCTCTAGCGCTTCAAGGTTGAGCCATCTACACGAGAAATAAGCTGCAATGATCGTCATCGAAACTACTTCACGGGACACTGTTCATCTTGTCGTATGGTTAAAGGCGCCTATAGCTGTAGACGCGGAAGGTGGTCCAACTACAGAGTCCCGGCGGCAAATTACGGATTTTTATTGAGAGAACATTTACAATGCACATGAGCCAATGAGAGTATACAGGGAACAGTACCCAATGGTTCAAGAACAAGGTAAAGTGGCAGAGCGTACCTATACTTGAGCATATACATGTTATTCTGAGTGATGTAGATGATGAGCGTGTGATATGGCTGACGGGGCAAGTGTCGGGCGATATCGACTGTAAATCGTATGTGGGCGGCAATTAGGGTTTCGTATGTCCGACTCCAGCATGGTTGATATGCATCGCAATCAAGACATTGTATTACCCCCACGGAGGCCGGAATAAAGTGGAATATAAAGCTGGACAATAAGCTGCATTAGTCAATTCAATATCCTCCGGTTGGGCACTCGTAGTCATACATGTCCACGTACACTAACATACGAGATGCATGGCACACTCAAAACTTAGATGAACATACTCACAAATCTTACGTGATACGATGTGAACCTTGATTATCAGACAGACTGGCTCTTGGCAGTGTACAACCTGTGCGGAAGTATATAAGAGTCTCGAACAAAGGTTGTATCTAACACATCGCTGTCAACAGTGAGTTACAAGGACCGGCCATATCAGAAAACGCATTAGAATCGACGTAACCCTTTAGTTGATACAGCAGCAAGACCTAGATATCCAGATATGGGTTGTACAATAGATGATACAGATTTAGATATCTACTGCGCAGCTTGGGATATGCAAACACTTGATTCAACCCATGGACCACTTATTTACGTCACAGTGCTATTGCATGGAGCGAGTTTAATCTCTCCCTGAACTAACGCAAGGTCTGACATAACGCTCAGTGATGATAATCAACATAGACACCAAGCTCTTTGTCGAGAAGTCGCGTGTCGGTTAGATAAAGAGTGGAGTTCATCTAGGCATTTAGTATACCCACTGTATGGCTGATCGAGCTTCAGCACGTCGATTTGCATATTGATTGTGATCCACCTGCAGATGGCATGACACACTCGGAGCATACGCGACTCAACGGTGTGCCGGTGCTGAAGAGTATCCCAATGACCGGGGTCCCGGTGTGACCTGCTTCGATAATCTCGACCACTGCACCTCAATAAAAGATTTCAAGGCTGTTGCGCAATCGCCGATCTTTTATGTTGTAAAAGGAGATGCCCGCGCTCCAAAGTATGTAGAGAATGTGCTCCGCAACTATCATATTGATTCTATCATCCATTTCGCTGCTAAGTCCCATGTCGACACATGACTCAACGACCCTCTATCTTTTACACAAACCACTGCCATACGCACCCAGGTACTGCTGGAGATTGCTCAGAAGCTAGGCTCGATCAAATGATTTATCCACGTGTCCACCGAGGAGGTATACGGTGACACGATACTCAAGGCCAATTGGCCTTCACCGAGGAGCAAAGCCTACAGCCCACAAACCCATACTCAGCCAGCAAGGCTGCGACCGAGATAATCCTCCAGGCATATCGAAGGTCGTTTCGTATGCCACTCATTATTGTGCGATGTAATAAGGTGTTTAGGCTATATCAATTCCCTGACAGTAGGTCTCCGACACTATTACTAGTGAGTAGCCCTTTGATCGAAACCAGACTTAGAGCTGATCCCGCGCTTATCACGCTCTTGAACCAAGGAGAAGAATGCCGATCCAGGGAGATGGTCACACATCTCGGGCGTTTCTATGGGCGGGTGATGCTTCAAAGGCGCTCGATGTGATCTTCCACAAGGGAACTGACGGTGAGACGTACAATATCTCCTCCAATGACCACTCCCGAGTCCGAGAGGTGACAGAGAAGATATTTCAACTCTTCCATCTGGATAGGACCCATGAGTTCGACGACTGGATTAAGTTTGTTGCGGATCGCCCGTTCAATGATAGTATGTACTAGACCGACGATTCCAAGCTACGTGCGCTTGGATGGAAACAGCGGATGAATTTTGACGAGGCATTATGGGTGACTGTCGGCTGGTATTGTCAGGACAGCGAGGGCGTTTGGCTAAATTGTGATGGCTCGGCGAGTACCGTCGTCGTTGATGGCGATATTGTTATTGCCGGAGGCGACCATATTCGAGCTGTATAAACTTATTATGTGCACTGCCTCTGGTATCATGGGGATGATCGCACTGTTTATATCATTTCGCTAGTATAGATGTATTGAATATGGGATATGGTTCGTATGCAATGAAATTTATGCGGGGGTATATATGCAACGTCTATATAATATACGCTATGGCAATCTGCGCAGGACCACTTCCCAGCAGCCTGGTTATTATGGGTCTAGGAAACCAACACATGGCTGGCCGATCTGGGGCGGCACTGGTATAATCTATCTTAATATATTAACACCCCTGCTATCGAGTGGAGGAAATGCGTTAGACAAGGTCCATGCATAACTCGCTTTCTGCACCCGTAGAGATCTTGGACCCTGTATACTCGATTCTTTACTTCAGGACAGTCTCCTGTTCATACTGTTGCTTTTCGCACAGTACATACATAGTGCCCACCTAGCGATCCGAGATAAGAGAAAAAGGGGGCAAGTCAATATTTTCACCAGCATTGTTGGCCGCTCATATTCTTTGGTCTCTACCTCTGTCCGCCTCACTTTGAAAAATCTGCTGGAAGCAAGGGCACATTACAAGTGGGCCCGGATAAGACCGGCAGATTGGCATTATGCAATCACTAATCTTTAAAACAAATTCGCACGGAAATCTTCAACAGACGGATTTTTGACCTCCCGTTCTCCCGAATAGTGGAGACGCCGGACATGTCTCGGAAAACGTCCGGCAACAGTAGACACGGTTGACAGCTTCACCTTTAATTATAAGCTTAGGGCGGTCCATGGGTCAAAGAGCCGGCGCTGATCGAACCAGAAATGGAGCCAATGCCGACACCCCGGCGTGTCAACGTCAGTCCACATGGTGGTCAATTGGAGATCCATCCCCAAAGGTGGACGAATACGAGAACTCTGTTGGGATTTGCGTTTTCAGAGGGGAAATCTGGAGGGGCTATGTGCCGAAGCGATGTGGCATGTTTCATCTCCTTCGGTTTATGATATGAGTCTGGCTTCGCCTAGGAATACGAGCTGAACTCACACACCATCGAATCCAGTTCACACTATCAGTCTAAAAATTCTCAGCATGGCGGCGACACAAACCATCCAAGTTCCCCACCTGGGCGGTATCAAGGCCGGCTACGCCCTCTCCAATGACCACTACGACCCCTCCAAGCCGACATGCGTTCTGATCAATTCCATGTGCATGACTGTCTCGCTCTACCATGACCAATTCAAGAATAAGGAGCTGACCGATGCGATGAACCTCCTGGCCATCGAGCCATTGGGTCATGGCGCGACCAGTTGCCCCTCCGAGCATTTTACTTACTGGGATACGGCCATTATGGCATTGCAGGTCATGGATCACTTTGGGATCCAGAAGGCGTTCGCCCTGGGAACGAGCCAAGGGGGTTGGATGGTGACCCGGATGGCCCTACTCGCACCGGATAGGGTAAGTTCGAGCTAATGCAGAGCCGAATTTAGTTCCTGCCAAGCCCAATAGGATTAACCTCGCATGTTACTAGATCCTCGGTCTCATGCCCCTGGGCACATCCATGGATTACGAATCAGCTGATTCTCGATCCAAGGGGTGCTGGGACCCCGCAACCAGTCTGACAGCCTTCTATGACAAGTGGACGAGCCCTGCCGCCACATCTGACTTTGTTGTCGATGATGTTTGGTGTGGTCTGGTAGGAGGCATTGGCTTCGGGGCTGCAGCCACCGCCGAGAAATCTGCGTTCTGGACCAAAACCCTGAAAGAAGTATACCAGGGTGACGAGGGACGCAAGAAGGTGCGGATGGCACTCAATTGCCTCCTGGAGCGAGACGGACTCCTGCTCCGACTGAGGGACATCAGATGTCCGGTTTACTGGCTACAGGTGAGTGCCAAATCCAGCTCCAATCAGTGCTAGTGTGTGATCTGTGCGTTAACCGATAGATAAGGGCACCGAGGACACACCCTTTGGAACTGTCGTTCCTGCGGAACAAATCAAACTGTTCACTGCTTCCCCGGAGGCCAAGTTGGTCATGATCGAGGGCGGTGCGCACTATCTCAATGCCACGAACCCGAAGGAGGTGAATGAGGCACTCTTGGAAATGGTCACTAAGTATCAATGAAGTGTCCCTGTGTAAGCTTGGCCGAGAGGTACTGGATTGACCAGCGTTTTTATACGAGAGAAAGTGTCTTGGAAAGTCAAGGGCGAGCCATTAGGTGGCATGTTCCAATATTTAGCCTGTAAAGAAAGTTTGCCACTTCTTGCTAAAGAGGGATGTAGTACTTTTGACGTCCTGAGATGGTCGTGGAAGTTGCCCATTGCAATATTATTCGCATTTTATCAATTTTTCCAACTAGGCAGAACCACGTGGATGATCCACCGTTCAGCGACTGGCCTGAGGATGCAAGTGGAGTCGCGGAGCAGCTGCCAAACCCGGTGTAGGGTAACGGTGACATGACAAACCCCAAAGCTACCAATTTCATGCCAGGTTTGTTGACCCCAAATCCTGGATTTCTAGAATCTTTCCCGAGTCCATGTCGATCCATACATGCGCGGGATCCACTTTAGCACACCATGTTTCATTCCGTTGCGGAGGACAAGATTTGCTTCCGCGAATGAACGGTTCGACATACGACGCAAGGGGGATTCCCGCGGTTTGCTCACTCGCCTATATTAGGCTAAGCATTGCTTCCCTTGTCTTTTGCGACCCGGTTGCGCGGTATCCGGCTCCATGGCATTGACTTGCACCTCATGGAGAATGACCAAGGCGATCTTCAGCAATGGGCGATAGCCACCACGCGTCCGTCACGGTGCTGGCGTTCGTGACGGTTTGCCTTCGACTGCTTGCACGGTATGAAAGGAAGCAAAGACTATGGTGGGACGATTACATGATCATATTTTCCTTGGTGAGTTAAGGCATCCCTGTATGATAGATATCCTCTTATCATCATTGACTGTCTTTAGCTATGGAACTTCGTCGTTGTTGGGTTTATTTACGCTATGATAAAGGAAGGCATGGGTCTTCATGCCAACACGATCCCAATCAGTAACATCGTCATGGTTGCGAAGTTCCTAGTTGTGGCTGAGATTCTTTACGTATTCAACCTCGTCTGGACCAAACTCAGCATCCTGCTCATGTACTACCGCATCTTCCGCTTCCCCTACTTCAAGACATGGGCATACATTATCGGCACCTTCGTCATCCTCTGGGTCATCTGCATCACCTTCCTCTTCATCTTCATCTGCGTCCCGGTCGAAAAGCTATGGTATCCGCAGATCCCAGGCCGATGCATCAACCAAGTCGGCACATGGATCGCCAACGCCGTCTCAACAATCGCCACCGACGTCGCCATTCTGCTCCTCCCGATTCCACAAGTCTGGAAGCTCCAACTCCGGCTTTCCGAGAAAATCGCCGTATCAATTGCATTCAGCCTCGGCTTCTTGTAAGCCCGCCACCACTGTTTGTCTTCCCTATCAACCAGTCTAACCTCTGTACAGCGTGGTCTTCGCCTCCGCCTACCGATTCTCAGTCCTCTTCACCTACACCGCAACTGACTCCTCCTACACGCTCGCGCCAACCGTCGGCTGGACCGCCATCGAAATGTCCGCCGGCATCGTCTCCGCCTGTCTCCCCACGCTGCGCCCAGCCCTCCGCTTCATCGCACGCAAGCTGGGCATCCACGGCCGCCTACCCGCCCTGTTCCAGAGCACAAACGGCCAAATGTCCAAAACCTCGAATCCGGCGACCGGCCCGTCCCACACGGAAGACAGCACCGCCACCATAATCCAGCACCCGGAGCGTCCCAAACGGCATTCGTTCTACCACCTACCGGACGAGACGGGAGAGGAGGGCCATCTGGGCACGTCTTTCAGACCGGACTATGCGGAGACGTACACGAATGTCCTGGGGCCGAGACTAAGTGGGCGTTTGAGTGTCGATGAGATTCCTTTGAATGGTATCCGCGTGGATAGGGAGTTTACGCAGACGAGTAAGCGGTAGGGGCTTTGGGGTTGGTTGCATTGTACTGTACTGTACTGTAGTGTAGTGTATTGTAATGATTATGTTATGCCATTTATTATTTCTCATTGGTATGCATGCGGTGTATACGGATCTAGATAGCTACCGTGGTGGTGGGCGGGCATTGTCTTTGTATTGCACTGTTGCATGAACAAGTGTATTGTAAGAAGGGTAGGCTATGATCACACGGTTGTAGAGTTTCCAGCAAATCAAGAATACAGATTCCTACTACTCCTTCCAGAATAGCCAAACTTGCAAAAGGAGGACAGAAAGACAGAAAGACAAAGAAACGTTGATATATGACCTTCTGACCTGGTGTGAAATAACTTTATTAGCAGTAGGTGCGGATTGTGAGGAGATATCGCTGTATTTTGCTGGTGAATAACATTCTACTGCTTGATTGCGTGTCCTTTAGAGTTGTCTTGGACGCCTTCATTACTTTGTTAATCAACTGAGGTATAAGCACGGATAGCAATATTCATTTGAAGTATGCTCAGACAAAAGGACAGTGACCAGATGGGCCTGCCGCCCTGAGGAATATCTTAATATTGACTCTGCAATGAAGAACTTTGTGGCATCTCGTGGCTTGGATCCATGGTTCACGTCAGTGGATATCACTGCTCAATGGCGACGATGCTGTTACTGTCCATATTTATACAAAGCTGCTGTGTCAGTTAATCTAGTTCAATGCCGATTATTATAGGAGATATGGAACCTATGCACATATCTAACTCCGCGATCTGGGAATTGAGATTGACAAGAACCGCGATGGTGGTTGGGATCCGCACTTTGGTTGCTTAGGATACTGATTTTGGTATAATCGATTACCGGGCTAAAGAATTGACCGAATATACGAAAAAGCGATTTATCTGTAACTGAAAGACTATGTAAAGCCAAGCACAGCAATAGACCTGTCTCTGTAAGCACTTCCTAGTGAGTATATAAGTGAGCCGAGCTGCCACGCTACGATAATCTTAGCCTGTTATTTAAGTCTATCTAAGGAGAAGAGGCGAGGGATTAGTTGCAGCGCTGGATGAAGGTTTTCTGACTTCTGGATAAGGTTTGATAATGTCGAGACTTTATTCGAGGGTAAATAACTGTTCTATTGCGATTCAGGTCTTCTAAGAACATTCAACAAAGGCTGCCATGCCACCACATACGCATACGTAGGGCTTTCAGAAAGTAGATTAAAAAAACGAGCCCATCACGAAGCAATAATCCATAAAAACATGATACAGGTCCTCCTGAGGCTCCAGGAATTCGCCGACAAAGTCCGTGTGCCATTCATCCCCCTTGTAGCAGGTCCGGCAAGCTTTGCAGTATTCCCAGTAATCCGGATACCATCCCGATTGCTCCCAGTCCACAATGACCATCTGAACTGGGTCGAAGGAGGATACGATAATATTTCTCTTGTGCAGATCCGCATGGGTGAATTTGATCTCGCCGGTATCTGGAAGGAAACATCGATCAGGATCATCATATCTGTAGGAGGCGAGTATCTGAGGTAACAAAGCAAACCAGTCGATGAACTCTTTGACACTGGGGATCGGGCCAGTTTTCGGTTTAAATTCGAAGGTGCGGTCTAGGAGATGCTGCCGATTGATTGATCCTGACCAGTGGTAAGTTACTGAATATTAAAAGGGCCCAACTTCGATTTCGGTCCTACCGATAAACGGATCTGAGGGGTCTTGCTTAAGTCGTCGCAGATTCCCCATGATCTGTGACAGCTGATCAGTGATGGCCCTCTTCTGCATAGTGTTTAGGCTATCCCGGCACTCGTGGAGTGTTAATCCTTTGATCAGCTCCATATACATGAACACATAGCCTTCATCATCAACCCGCCAGCCAAAGAGTTCAGGCACTGGAACCTCGTTCTGAAAAGCCTTCTTGATCATCCAAAGATTCACCGCCTCGACAATTGTCACATCAGTGCCAAATTTGACAATCAGGTTAACATTCTCAAATACGACAGGCGTTACTTTATAACTTTTATAAGCATCCTTGGATATCGCTCTCACCTCGGCGGGTGTTGGGAGGTGGCGGTTTGGGGTGGTGAAGAATGAGGAATCGGTAAAGTCGATCTCCTTTTTCGTGGCATCGGGCAGCTCCAAGGATATCAGCTGGTTATCTAGTCGATACGTAACCATGTTGAGTTCTCGATAGCAGGGGAGTAAACGTTGGTTGTGGTGATCGGCAAGACAGTCAAGGCTGGCAGTGGTGGTGAGTTTATATCAATTTGTTGAAATGAGTGCCTTGGTGCTTTTTGGAATGGCTGCATCTGTCTATTCAAAGACAGACGATTCTTATCTATGTTCTCGAAAGAAGAGTATTCTTAGACCTTTGAAGTACGAGGTATAAAGGATCAAGTAACTACTTGGAGTCTCTCAACATGAAAGGGAGCCACAGCTTAGAATAAAGAGCTTTATGATATTGATATATGGGTATTTTCTTTGAATGGGTAGTAAAACCCAACCTTCTTCTTCTTCCCCCCCCTGAGCAATAAAACCAGTAGTAGACCAGTTCATGGTTGCAGTCCTGGTGCATACTCGAAGCGCCAAGGTACCAATGCACAGCCACGTCAATCGAGTCCAGCCTTGTTCAGCTCTTACAAGTTATAAATGTACAACCCCACCTGGACTTCACGCCGTTCATCTTCCACCCAGCACATCGTTCCATATCCTCCCACATCCCGGACAATTCTTTCTCTTTCTTAGTCGATTTTTCTTTGTTACTACCTCTTGTGTTGATATAGCCGTATGACGAGATGCGCCTACTCAACACTCACACTATTCAACTGGTGGAATTTCCGCCGGACCGTATCCTCAGATATGCAATCCTGTCCCACACCTGGGGAGACGATGAGGTTCTTTTCACAGATATGCAACATCACACCGAACAAACAAAATCCTCATGGCCAAAGATCCAAGGAGCATGTGCGCAAGCGCGGTCCGATGGGCTTAACTATATCTGGATTGACACCTGCTGCATCGACAAGAGCAGCAGTGCAGAGCTAACCGAAGCGATTAATTCCATGTTCAGGTGGTATGAAGAAGCTGTGGTCTGCTACGCGTATCTTGCCGACGTCACGGCGAGACAAAGGTATTGGAGTGCAGAAGTAAATGAGGGTGAGTTTGAACAAAGCCGATGGTTCACTCGTGGATGGACCCTACAGGAGCTGTTGGCTCCCTCCGAGGTTGTTTTCTTTTCACAAGATTGGGTCCATTTTGGAGTGCGAAGCGACTTAGCTCACAGGTTGGTGGATATCACACGTATCGATGAGGCCGTTCTAAGCCGTGAGTTGCCGCTTTTTGAGAGGAGTATAGCGCAACGCATGTCATGGGCTGCCAGGCGTCAAACTACCCGGCCAGAGGACATGGCCTACTGCTTGATGGGAATATTTTCTGTCAATATGCCCATGTTATACGGCGAGGGAGGAGAGAGAGCTTTTCTTCGCCTGCAGGAAGAGATCATGAAGCAATCCGACGATCAGACCATCTTTGCTTGGACCGACGAAAGTGCCCCTGATGACCTCCTTCATGGTCTACTCGCGTCATCCCCAGCGCACTTTGCGGACAGCCAGAACATTATAGCTTACCAGCAATGGAAACCTACACCGCCATATGCGATGACGAATCGAGGGCTGCGTATTAATTTATCACTTGACTTCGACACAATGAATTCTGAGCTTGGCTGCCTGGCAATTCTCCATTGCGGCTTTTCAGAGCATACCAATGACGACGATGAATATAGATTCTTGGCAATATGCCTAGAGCGGCTTTCAAGGTTTGATAACAGGTACGCTAGACGGGAAATTGCGGCCTTGGGTACGTTGTCAGATGTCAGTCCTGCAGAAACAATATACGTGCCTCAAACAAACATTAAAGCAGATATTCGAAGACCATTGCCTCATGTCATCTTCAATTTACGTCAATTCTGGAGTCCACCCACCTTTAATTTGAGGCGGATCCTGACTCCCACGCTGGACAGAGATGTAAAGCAGTTCCGTCCAAGCCCCCAGGACTGGGAGTCCCAGGAAAATTGGAGAGTTTTCTCGAGCCTCAAACCCATTAGAGGATGTCGCCAGGTATTGGCCTTCCTCATTTTCCAAGAACCGAAAAGACCCGTGGTCGTGATTACTCTGGGTTCATTGCCAGAATTGGGTCTAAGTTTTAACGTTGTTCGCTTGTCTCACAACGTGTTAGATATGGACTTCGACTTAGTTCGATGTGAGGTCGACTCTCACAGCGGCTTGCTATCAGACATCGTACCAATGGGGCAAGCGGTTCAATTAGACGATCTCACTGTGTCTGTAGCAGCAATTGATTGCACAGGATCCGTGCCCAGCCATTACTCTCTATCTGTCTACATAGACGAACAAAAACGGTAGATTCCATAATCAGTTCATCACGAACTGAAAAACACCGTCATGACAGCTCTCTACAACCGTTTGTATGGGAAAGTTCCTACCCATCTAGCCTGACAACCCTCGCCGCCTCATCATGACACCTCCCCAACCGATTCCTACCCTTCCAATTCGCCTCATCCTGAATCTCAACCGAATCCCACCTCAAGCCAACCCCCCAAACACGATCCCTCACACTGCCCTCCACAAACCTCCGTCCCCCATTCGCAAGATACACCTCCTTCAGCGCCGAATCCACCTCCGCCCTCGCCACACATCCAGCTGTAACAATCACTTCACTGGCATATTCCCAAACATCCTCCCGGAACCCCTCCGCAGCGCGCCCCAACGCCTTCTGCACCCTCGGCTGCGTCGTCCTCAACACACTCGCAACCGTTGAGTCCCAAATCGCCCTCTCCCGGGGGCACTCCGGCGATGGCTCAGAGTCACCCACAGCCACGGCCCTCACAGCTTCAAACTCGTCCTCCGAGATATCAACCCCTGAATCCAACCCGGGGATCTCTTCAAATAACCACCCCTTCATCGCCATCATCCATTGCTCGCCGCAGCTGAATGACCATGAGCTGATCAGGCGTGAGACGGCCGCGTTTGGCGCAGGGTGCGGGATCCCCAGGGCGTCCAGGTCCGGTAGACACAAGGACAGGGCTCTGTGGCCTGGGAAGCGCGGCGTGCTGGGGTGCCAGTTTGAGAGGGGGCCGCCGTGGAAGAAGATGTGGGTTGAGGTTGTAGCCATATGGGGGTTTCTTTTTAGGGGGTCCTTTTGCGTGGTGGGTTTAGTTCTGAGATCTTTGCGTGGCATTCCGTCGGTGTTGTAAACTATTAGAGTGGAGGGAGGTTGCTGTTGTTGTTGTTGTAGTAGTAGTGGTAGTAGCTGTGGTGGTGTAATTGTAGATTTGGGATGCGGGTTTGGTTGGATGTGTTGGTGTTTATAGATTCCGGTGTTCCGGCTTGTTGGATTCGGATCTTATGGTGAGTTATGAGCTGGCTGAGTAGTGTCGAAGAGAGTTCGTATAAAGATTCGAGTCATAGATTTGGTGTTGTTGATCGGTTCGTATTTGCGGGACTGGTGACTCACGAGGTGATGTTAACTGTGTGGCTATGCACTTGACATGGCGCGGTAGATGTGAGTGTATACATGTATAAATCCACTTCGAGGCGAGGTACCGTACATGTCGATATAGCATGTTCAGATACTCCACAGCATTCCACACGAGACCAGGATGATTGTAAAAGACGGAAAGATTTTCCGTAGAATGCTACACCCAATATACAACGCATAATATTCACTATCGCTAAAGCAAATTAACATCACAACATCCCATATACCATTCACCCAGGCGACAAATTCAAGATATCAAGCACAAGAATCTGCCTTCATCCGCCTCAACTCCTCGACAGCCCTCTCGGTCCCCCACCCCTCCTTCAGCCCCCTGAGAATAATCTCCTGCTCACTCTCAGGCGCCATACCATTCGGCGCCGGTGGCCTCCTATCCAAGTTCGTCGGAAACGGATACCCATCTGCAACAGCGCGGATGAAATTCTCCACTTCACCATCCAACTTCCCCCCAGCACCCTGGAACCTCTCCAAAAGCTCTTCCCAGCACCGCCCCACAAGCGGCACGGTATCAATACTCTCCATGGCCTTGCCCAACCCACTACTAATCTGCAGCAAGTTCGCCTTGCGGTGAAACCCGCCATCGGGACCGGGCTCGGTCTCATTGGCGCCGGCGGCGTGGAACACAGCCGGGTTGAAGAACAGACCATCCCCGAAGGCCAACGGCAGCGAGACGTAGTTCTCCTGGAAGAAGGCGCGGAAGTCGTCGCGACGCCAGGCCAGATACCCCGGCTCATAGGTCTGGCTGAAGGGCAGGAAGCGGGTGGGCCCGCTAAGCAGCGGCATGTCGCTGTGGGCGACGGCGCCCTGGAGAGTCAGGTGCTGGCTGGCGAGCTGGATGTTGCGCGGGAAGGCGGCGCAGGTGAGCAGGTCCTGGAAGCCGAGGTGGTAGTCACGGTGGCTGTCCTGGGCGGCGCCGCCGGGCTTGACGACGTTGACTTGCGCGGTGACGCGGTAGGCCGGGCCCAGCCAGGTCTCGCTGATCAGCCGCAGCCACGGGTTGGAGTAGTAGGTGATGAAGGAGGAGGGGTCTTCCAGCGCGTGCTTGCTGAAGGAGTTCCAGATGCGGTCGTTTTTGCCGCTCGCGGCGAAGTGGTCGCCTTTGGTGGTTGCGGAGGCGCGTTCGCGCGCGATGATGCTGGTGAAGGCGGCGTTGGTGCTGTGGAGGGTGGAGGCGTATTGCGCTGGGTCGTACATGCCTTTGAGCACGAGGATGCCCGGGCCGCTGCTCAGGATGTGGTACCATTCGTCTTGCAGGGTGGTGGTGAGGTCGGTGTTGTGTGGGTCGAGGGCTCGGGCATCGTAGATGGGGATGTTGTGGTCTACGGATGCTGCGAGTGGGTAGGTGGTTTGGTCGGTGGTCTGGGAGCAGATTCTCTTGAAGTCTTCCAGGTTAGGGGTCTCCGGCTGGAATAACCGGCTGGGGACGGTTTTGTGGGATCCGTTTGGGACGGTCATGGTGTTGTACGGTGGGTGGGATAGTAGGTGGTGAGAAGAAGTGGAATTGGGTGAGGTCCGTCGGTTCACGATGGACCGGTTTATATAATTGTGGATGGGAGTACAATTCCGAACACGAAGTCGCTGGATGACTCTGGCCTGAATTTCCGAAACCCTAGATCCGCAGGGAGGCACGGTGGGGAGCAGGCTCGTCGGGCGAGGTTCTGACTGCCTCGACTCTATAACTTCCGCCCACTAGTGCTCCACCAGAGCCAATCATCTCGATATCGCCAATATGAAGAATCTGGAGCAATGCACCAGTCCCAAGGCTCCCCAGGGGCAGCCTCAGGCATGCGCAGACGGAAACCAATCTCCGGGGGGGTGATGACTAACCCCAGACCGGGGGAACCACGTCAAAATTCATGAAGAGAACTATATCGAAGGGGGCCGGTTGAGCCCCCGGAATTCCCACGGGTAGAAAACACAATATGTACTTCGTCATGCATTCCCATCATCATCATAGAAGTATTAATACACATGTACAATTAATCCCTCCATGACACCCCCCAACAAGCCACAGAATGACAGAGTAAAGAAGGTTACAAGCCGCCGGCCAAAGGCACTTTCTTCAAACCAGAGCAGAAGATCCATCAGAATATGCCACCATCCATCAAGCAGAACCGCACAAACAGGGGAGGCAAGTGGTGTAAACAAAGCCACGGAGAAAAGAGAAATCCGAGCACCCCGGCAAAGATGAACAATGAAGAAGACTGTGCTATATCTCTTCCAAGCAATGTTATATTCAAAGGAAGCCCCATCCCGTGCAAATCTATTAATGATCCGAATTTTCGCCCGAAAAGTCAAACAATCTTGCAAGATGAGAGAGGAAAGTAAAGAAAGGCAAGAAAAGAAGGGAAAAGGGTAAAATGCAGGATATTCGCTCGTATTTCGACAATTTATTATTTCATGCATTCATCATGACAATCCCGACATCAGGATTCAGCGCCCCATCCGCCGAGGCCAACTGGCTGACTTGATTGGACTCACTGAGAATCAGACGGTTCTCCGAAAGGGTCTCCACTAGTGTGTTCGGTCGTCCAGCGACGGTGAAGAGCGCTTTCAGCAGCACATCCTGATTTTGGCTCCCGTCCGCCGTCGGGGCCGTCTGATGTCTCGTGTGGGTTAACAGCGTCCGAACGAGGGACCGGATCTGTCCATCTGTCGAGGAATCTTCGAGGACATCGAGGCCGTCAATGATGCAGACGAGAACAGGCGGGGCCAGGTACAAAAGCATGTCGATTAGCGATAGCACCTCTTTCCAGCTAGTCATCGTGCCATTTAACGGGCTGAAGCGTTCCGTATTTAGATTGCAAGCGGCGTGGCCTTCCAATACCGGAGGCAGGTAATCGATCAATTGTCGAATGAGGCTATACGCAAGCGATATAAGACCTTGTTCAAACAAGGTCATCCCACTTCGTTCTTCGGTGGGGAGGGAGCAAAAATGGGAGACGACAGGCAATTTTGCCTTCCGAGCGAATGTGGCGTAGCAGGCCGAGACGAGGGCGACCGGGCTGGGAAAGGCAGTGGATGGGGAGCCACCGATGGCTAGGACTTGGGAATGAACATTGGTTGCCCATTGCTGCAAGGATTCCACCACACTGTCCTCGGCGATCACATCGACATCGGAATCAAGGTCGGTCACTTGGTCGTCGTTCCGGAAAAAGTCCTGGAGGTGTTTCGAGGCGAGCTGCAACTCTACCCGAGTATATTTATGTTTAGGTCCTGACGACCATTTGAATCTGGACGTTTCTTGTGACGTTATCAATGTCAGTTCCGACGGCAGGTCTGTCCCGAGGTCACCACCCTGCATACCTATGTCCTGTGCGACCGTCGTCGTTAAGCAGGCGATACCACTGTTTTGTTGGGTGACGGAGCGGAGTCGCTGGCCAGTTAAGTCGAGCATCTGCAAGAGAAGTAAGTGGCTTTCGGCCCTTAGCTGGAGCCGCTCTGCCGCATCGTGCTGAATTTCCCATATCAACTGACGGGTCATGGCGGTCTGGGCGATGATCCGGCGGTCCCATTTTTGCAGACCGACTTGGCTCAATCTCGTCTCCTCCCAAAGGTAGAGGTCGCTGCTCTGCATGATCTTCCGCTTCTTTTCATACTTCGGGTCGTCCATGTCCATGCCATCGACAAGTCCACCAATGATGTGTATGGCGCTGCTTCGGATGCTCCATATGAGGTACCGGAAGTTGAGGTATACATCTTGGTGCAAGCACTGGAGAAGACGACACTTGGATCTTCTTACATACCAGTCCATTAACTCTCCCAGGAAGAAGAAAGTCAAAGAATAAAATTTCGCAATGGCGGTGATTGAATCCGTGGGGAAAGCTAGTCCGTCACTTCCCGGTGGTAGGCAAATCGATTGATTGACTTTCACTAGTGCTCGGATGACGCCTTCCATGATTCTAGGATAGTTTGCCGACGCCTGCCAAGCCTGTTTAGTATGCGATTTGAGCTCGAAGGCAAGTCGCAAAAGCTCACCTTGATGATCGACTGCAGGACACCATAGAACAGGGATCGGTAGGACTCATTCTTGGGAAGGGTCACCAACAATCTTGCGTGGGGATCTATAGTTTCCACGAAGGTGTCGCAGAGCGTCATTGAACGGCTAAATACTTGCTGCCTCGGGTGAGATAACCACCGGGCCTGCACGTCGCGTACCACCGCCTGGACATCCTGAGAAGTTTGCGACCGTTCCTGAAATTCGACATGATCGGCGAGGGGAAGATTTTCTTGAAATCTCTTCCAGGATTGGGCCAGTTCGTTGTACTCCACGTCGAGTATTCCAATTACCGGGTGTCTGTGTCGGTATTAGCCATATACAGCGGTGCATGGGTAAAAGATCGACGGTGGACGGATGTGGTCCAATCAGCTGAGCTTTGATGGGAACAATAAGAGGGGATCGGGCAAGGAGGTATGTGTGCGCCGATCATTGAATTCTATATTTCCAAGTGGAAACGAAGAAAGGAGGCGGGGAATGAGGGGGAAGAAAGGGAACGGCGAGGAGAGAAAAACGGTCTGACAGATAGAACAAAACCAATAAAAAAACAAATAAAGAAAAAAATAAAGAAAGAAAAAGGGCGTAAGGCCTTACGGTGAAAGAGGTCTTTTCTCGAATCGTTTCCTCCAGATACTGGCGGCGAACTGATCATCCTCAGCAGTTGGAGGGGCTGCTGGGACGAGGGATGTTGGAGGCGGCATTCTGCAGCCCAGTCAAAGCGTCGACTCTCCCTGTTCAAGGCCGGAAGCACAGGAGAACGATTGTCTTGCCAACCGAGTCGATGCGGTCATGTCAGGGGGTGGCGGATTAAGAGAGATAAGACAAAAAGGAAAGAAGAAAGGAAAAGTCCAGACAGGTGCACGGGTTGACCATTCAGCGAGAGTGCGATGTGTGCTTGATTTTAGGGGTGGTATGATGTTTTGTTGGGTTGGGTTGGTGTCAGTGACGATGTTGATATGGCGATGATTTGGCTTTGGTCGGCTTTTGCGTCTGGTCCTCTTTTTCTCTTTGTCCACAGGTTACCGGCTCATCGCCATGTTGCGGGCATAGTTAATATGAAAGCAACGGGTGGACCCGCTTAATAAGACACGACCTATTTCTTTTCCCCCTTTGAGGACGGAGGGAGAAGTTCCAGTTGACGGGGGGGGAGAAATGAAAAGAGGGGGAAGGAGGAGGACAAGGGCATCACCAGAAGAATCGATAGAATAAAAGAGGGAGAGAAGGAACAGGGAAAAAGGAAAGAGAGCGAGAGCGAGAGAGCGAGGGAAAAGAGAGAGTAAGCCCAAGGAAGTCAAGTCAGTACTGCTGGGCTTGTACTTAGAATGGGACGTGAATTATCATCGTGATTTTTTTTCCCTTTTGTTTCTTCTTACTTCTTCCCACACACACACACACCCACCCAACACACACAAAAGGGTTCTGTAAAAATAATAGAAAAGAATTTTCTTTTCTTTTTCTTTTCTTTTTACCCTTTTTCCTGCGTCTCTCCCTTTTAATTATTACTTCAATCTTACCTAGTTTTTTCCCCCCCCCCAATTTTTAAGTTTGTTTTTGATGTGCTTTGGATTTCTTTTGCTGTTCCACTTTTGAATTTCTTTTCTTTTCCTTTTTTTTTGTTTCATTTGTTTTCTTTTTCCTTTCTTCTCCATTTTAAATTTTTTAATTTATGCCTGTCTCACTTGTACTTTAATTCTCCCGTCTCTTCCCTGTCAACCTTCCCGATCTGCTCAAATAGATCAATTTGTCTGAGTGCCGGACGAGGAAATCTTCAGTTAATGGTGATGGATTGGGAATGAAGAGTGACCCTCAAGCAGGGAACCTTGCACGCCTCCCTGTCGTCGAGGACCAATCGTTATCCTCATTTCAGCGGAGTCACGGGCGGACCGGCGTTCGAGGCCTCGAATAGAAGCGGGGATGCGCTGATGGGTAAATATTCCAGGCCCTCTTAGCCTATGGGACCGTGCTACTAATTTTGGCCCAGTCCGGTATGGTTCACCTTCCTTTTTCTTTTGTCGACACCTTTTGCCATTATTTCGTTTTATTGATCGGTTTTTCTTTTCTTTTTCTTATTGTAGATTCTGGGGGTGGGAACAAAACTTGCGGCCGACCTGTTGCTAATTGATCAACGTTTTATTATTATTATTTGAGATTTTGTCTTTCCTTTTCGTTTTGCTCCCCTACGGTTTGAGATATGCTTGTGGGCCACCCGATCTGTCAAATTAATATCCATCTTGTGTTCTTTGTCTGTGCTCTCCGTCTCCTTTTTATTTTCATTATTTGTGTTTATTTTTATTTTTAATTTTTTTTTTCTTTCTTTCTCTCTCATGTCTTGTCCTCTCCTTTGTACCATTCTCTCTCTCTCTCTCTCTGTCTCTGTCTCTGTCTCTGTCTCTCTCTCTCTTTCTCACTTTGCGCAACACTAACCACACCAGATACCCACCTTCAGGATTGATAACCATGTCGCTTTACCCTGTTCCTCCTCCTTTAAAAGATCATGACTGGCATCTGACCGAGTCATCAGTGACCGATGCCTGCTGATCTAGAGGCATTTCAAGTCGCAGAACAAAAGCCGACTAAACCGCCAGATTGGTTGAAATCCCTTTCTTTGTTGAGATGCATACACTTTCATGCATCCGAGTCTTTTCAAATTATCCCTCTCATTTCTTTTTCCATTGAGCCTTCCCGGGCATATCTGGTTGGCCGCCCTGGGGAGAAAGAGCTCCATCAGGTTTAGTTCTGGACTGTACCTTACCTTCGGGCTTAACCTTCCTTATTAGTAGAAGCATGAATCCCATGCGAGAAGAGTCTCCATTCACAGGAATATCACCCCCCATCGCCACCACCATGGTATTCATCATCCTGTCATCCCACAACCTTTAGGTTTGGATGATCGTGTCGGAGTCTGGGAAGCAACCTACACACGGACCAAGCGTTGCTGTCATGGAGGGTCGAGACCCATGCTTCCCGCCAATCGTCGTCATCTGATGGGGAATCCATCAGTCCACAGAAAGCTCGTTCTCAACTATGCCAAGACTGGGCCGTGTGGGTTCCCTCCTTACGACTCTAGCCGGTGTAGCTGGGCTATCAGACGCCTCATCTGGGCCTCTGATATCCGTGCCTCCCCCCAGTGCCCTTCCCTTTAAAAAGCCCCCCCTGATTCCAAAGACCAAGCGAGATGAAATAACTGCCGAGCGAAAGGAGAGCCGGATAACCTCGCGCCAGACCTTTCCTCCAGTCTATCAAACCGACCCCAGAACACTGTCACACAAAACACTTCCCAGCTCTTACGTGGTTCACATTTCCTGTTGCCTCCGCTGCTCACCCATCATTCGCAGCGTCTCACGGACCTCCTCCAGACCCTCTTTCAGACAGGTCAACTGTCAGCTCTGCAGGCCACATTGGCCTCCGTGGGTTTCATAAGTATCCTCCTCTGTACCGGTGAAGAGCAGCAGAGCCCTGATCACGGGGTTTCAAGCGTCCATAGTCTCCAGATAAGGTTCAATGTGTAGAATCTACATGGCCTGATTGGGAACCCGCTCGATGATGCAATGCATAAAATGGAGTTATATACAGGGTATGTGCGGTAGATAACGAATATGTGCCGTGTCCTCCTACCTTGTTTGATGTGTCTGTGGCGGCCTGTAGACTGTGGGCGAAACCGCTTCGTCTTCCTCGCCCGGGATGGGTATTAACTGAAACCAAGGGAAACGACGTTATGACTAAAGGGTGCGCCAGATCCCGAGTTTTGTCAATTTTCCGGGGGCTGGATTTAAATCCGCCACCAAACCAAATCATCAAAGACACAAGAGAAAGGTAGAAACCCGTGCAAGAGCAGCTTGCGGACAACACACGTTCAGGGTGTTTTTCTCCGAGTCCAAGTAAAATGTCTCGGTCGGCAAGTCACATCGTTCGGCCCTAGCCAAGCTTTGGATATTCCGGGGTTGTTGGCACGGGAATGAAATGTCGGACGGCATGCAGAGGAGACGACGTTGTCACACATGGACTCACCGTGTGTGGCTGCTTTTGCGGTGAGCAATGGGATTGTGCGTGCTGGCATGGAATGGACCCTTCCCGTCAATCGGCTTGTCGTGTAGCGGTGGCTTGTGCGTCGCCCTTAGTTGGAAGTTGCAATGTTATGACCTACTGTATCACCATATCGACTGCATAGATTGGTTGTGATACTTGTCCTTCTTCTTCTTCTTTTTCTTGCTTTGATTTGGCTTTATGCAGTGTTTTAAGGCCCAGGCACAGCAGCGTACTAACCATCCTGCAGAGCCTATGATTATAAACTTCTATCTACTCATTATCCTATAGTCCTACCCCTGACGGCTGATGCCTCGAAATCTCGACGTCTGAACTAGAGGCGTTTCTCTCCGTGCAAGAGAACTAGCTTCGCTTTCGGCTTTTCATATTGGCCCCTCGTAATTGGACTACAGCTAGGTCATTAGCAAAAGAAACTGCGATTGCATGGTGCGATCGTCAACCCGGCGTCGATCAATCCACCTCAATCAGGGTAAACCCCGAGCACAAAAGCAACTGACAGGGACCAGACCGCAAGCCGACCGAATCAAATCCGAAAGAAATGCCAAAACTCAGAGATCCAACCACTTGGATATTGGGACGCAGCATTACCCAGTTAGAAATCCGCATCGCGCAGGTGGTGATCCTGTCGGATGCGGAAGGTCGATAAGCATGCAGTGCCCGAGTGCGGAGATTAGCCTGTCTCCGATCGCGGAGGCGTGCTACTCCACATGCGGAGAACCCGCGGTCGACAGGACTTTTTTTTGTTTTTCCCATGTTCTGTCGAGATAAACGGTGTCCTCCGCATATGACTTGCGATCCAAGCATTGGGGGTCGAAGGAATCATCGATTGCGTAGCTGAATTCAGGCACCGGGGTGTAGTGAGGCTGTGTTGAATAATCAATTGTCGGGTTTACCGTCCCGTCTCAGCCTCGACGTGGATGTCCGAATCAAGCTTGACCACGTTGGGATTCAGTAAACGAGAGGTGCAATAGTAGTTCTCAAAACGAACAGACTTCAACGCCCAGACAACATTGCCAGCTAATGGATTGTCAAGCCATGGCACTGGGTCCGGCAAGCCATGGTATGGCATGGAATCTTGGGGAGCTGTCCGCCCAGCGGATCACCAGTGCGGAGAGTTTGAAGGTTGGACCGCAGTTTGATAGATGACGCAATTCATCGCATTCACATCAGGTGCTTTTCTTTACTTTTTTTTTTTCTGTTCTTTCTGGTGTCAATCGCATGGCCCATCCCCACCTTTCTCAGCTATTCAATAGACATTGTTCGACCTGGGTGTATCGCCCATCGGTGGACTGGGCGATAATCCTTTCTGTCTTGGCCTGAAAAATGAGACAAGATCGGCCAACATGTGACTTATCGGCCCTAAGCGCGAGTGACCGACGAGACTAGAGTCCTTAGTAGTACTGAAGGAACTTCCCCCCCGCATCTTGGGAAAATTCTAAACAATTGAGACCGGAAGAAATCGAGGCGGAGAGGACTAGTCTCGATCGAAGAAGATTTGAAAAGAATTTTATGTGATGATGTTGTTTGGACGGGATTGCAATGGAAGCAGAAGAGGTGGAGTTGATTGGACTGGACTGAATGCATGTTTCTGTACCTTGGGTTTTGCTTTGGGCAAATCAAGTGCATGGTGATCCCCTTATCGTTTTCGTATTGCGCAGACGGAATTAGTCACTCGATTAGTCGTCAATCCATCCATGGTTCCTCGTTCGAATCGCCGTATCAGTCATCGATTGGGAGTGCCTGAAGTTACTTTAAGCTTGGGAATCACTATTATATCTACAAGCAACGACTCTTCGGTTTTGTGAAATCGATTCCCTTCCTCCTCCCCCCCACTTCCTGGTATATACTACACAGTACTCTTGACTGGGTCCAAGACATATTTTTGGCGTTCCCTTTAATTTCCACAGAGTGTTTCATCGGATCGTCCGGATCATTTTTCTGACAGACTTGCCTTGTTATCCAACGGATTCACAACTGCAACCCTAACGAGGCAACTCCACCGTACCGTCGGTGGTTGGTTGCATGACATAACCCCCCCCTCCCTCTTTCTCTCTCTCTCTCTCGCCCAGTCTCTCGGTCTCGCGCTCCACCGCATCTCCAAATTTCACATCCCGTTGTCGGTGATCCATCCATCCATCCATCCACTTCCATTGATCCTTCTGCTTATCGATAGATTCCACTTTTTTTTTCTCCCCAAATCTTGTTCCCCCGGTTCTTACAATTCATTTTGTTGGAACCCCCCACTGTCACAGTACATCAGACCGTCATTGATCGGCCAGTATTCTCTTGTACCTATCTGTCCTTTTTTTTTTCTTTTTCCTTTTTCTTATCCCTGTTGTCATAGGCGCTCGGCATCGGTGAACGCAGAAGATCCGGGACTAGATGATCTCCTGCGCCCCATAACCTCCGCCATATCCGTAAGCCTCGTCATCGTGGGGAAGTCCATTTCGTTCCAGCTTGGCCTTTTCCATCGATGGGGCCCATCCAGGACCCTTCTTTTTTCCCTTTCTCTTTTTCCTCTCTTCCCCTCTTCTGCCTCCTCTTCGCTCTATCGACTACTGTCCTCGCGGTAGACTCGTCCGGCTGGTCTGTGGTGCCGTCCAACAACTCCAGGGATCTTTCGTGGGTAGGAAAAGCCAGGTTTCACTTGGAGAGCGGCCAGATTCAGCTACCGTCGGGCGTCAGCGTTACTCCCTTGACCACAGCCTTGGTCAATCTCGATCAGAGCGAAATTACGGTTCGTACGGCGCGGTGTAGATGAACCATGAATGAATATGCTGACGGTGGTCCCGCGTAGAACTTCAATGTTACGGGCAACCTGGTGAATGTGGACGCTACCAACTCCATCTCATTGAACACGAGTGATATCGCCCTGATCAGCTGCGACCAATCCGCCTATCCCGGAAATTTAGATGCGAGTGAGACCGTTCGCAACGTCATTACATCGCCGCGTCGTGCATCGGCGGTTCTTTTGTACAGTTCCGAGGTGCATCACTGTAATTACACCGCAGGTCCCAACGCCAACGGATATATCAACGTCTTTACGCTAGTCAATCCGACTCTCGCGAAGGTTGTCACCAATCTCTCTCATTCATCGACAGGAAACGGTTCGACGAGCATCAAGCCCGACATGTCATTTACGATGTCAGGGACGCCGCCCACCTCCGGGGATTCCGGTGGGGCGACGGACAGCCCGAATACTGGTATGAGCCCTTCATATCAGCGCATACATTCTTTCCATCGCGGCTGACCTTGCCTCACAGCTATGATTATTCTGTATAGTATTACTGGTATCATCACGGCGCTCTTCCTCGCCATCATCATTACCGGCGCGGTCCGGGCCCATCGTCATCCGGAACGCTACGGCCCTCGATATACAGCGGGGCGGCCACGACAAAGTCGAACGAAGGGGATGGCAAGGGCGATGCTGGATACAATTCCGATCGTGAAGTTCGGTAACCAACAGGATCCCAAGCTGGATGCCGTCAAGGGTGACGTGGAGATGGGCTCTGAAGATGAGACGGGTCGTCGGCCAGATTCTACTCAAGAAACAACCACGGTGCACGAAACGAATCCCCAGGCAACTGCTGCTTTGGCGGCGACAAATGATACCACGACGGAATCCCCTTCAGAAGAACAACCCAAGCCGACGGAATCCACAGATCATCCGAACTTTTCATGCCCTATCTGTACCGACGACTTTGTCAAGGGACAGGACCTGCGTGTCCTGCCCTGCAACCACCAATTCCACCCGGAGTGTATTGATCCTTGGCTGGTGAACGTATCAGGCACATGTCCTCTATGGTATGTTTTCCCCACTAGCCTAAACGCCAAGAATCGCAATCGCTAACACAAAGTCTAGCCGTATCGACCTCAACCCCGCCCAGCCTGAGGGCGAGACTGAAAACCAGGAAGGTGAAAACAACACCGAGACACAGCCTGAGGGCACACCGGAACCAGCAACAGAGGAATCCCACCACCGCCACCGCCGCCTAACCAGCTACCTGCACGGAACGCTGAACGCGCGCCGCATGCACGAAGCCACCGTCGAAGAGCGCCTCGCCGCGCTGCGCAGCGTGCGCGAAGAGAACCGCAACAGCGTCGAGAACGAAGAAGAACGACAGCGACGCGGTCGACTCACGTCCCGCCTTCGTGACCGATTCCGCATTCGCACTCGACGCCACGGCGATGACGGCGAACACCAGCCGGCCGCATCAACATCTAGTACATAAACCGACCATCTACACTGTTTATATTATGATGGTTCTTGTACAGTCAACTTTTGTGTTATGTTTGCTTGCATGGGGGCCTTTTTTTTTTCCTTATTTACCATTCTCACTCTCCTTCATGTCCATATTTATGTCTATGATTTACGAAGCACGGAACCACCAACGAAAGGCACGGCGATACAGGCGTTTAAGAAACAGGACATTTGACAAAAAGAAAGAAAGAACCGGATTCAGGACTTTGATCTGATTGAGGCCATTGTACATCTTCCACTGTATATTTTTTCTATTTCACATAGGTATATATACAAAATGCAGATCCAGAGTACAATACCCAATCCACAAACCCAGACCCAAGCCGGCACAATAGAAACAATCCAGAGTCCAGCCACTTCGGCAATCCTCCGAACGCACCCAAAAGAAGAAGAAACAGCAACCCAACAAAGAAAGCAAGAAACACGAAGTAAAGTGGAGCAGCCAAGTCCAACTAAACAAACAGACCCCGTTCGCACTCGCATAAATTGCCCCTTTCGGAATCACCCCGTGGGGTTTCGTTTTTAAATGCGGGTTTGCCTTATGTACATAATTTTTTTTCTTTTTGCCTTGGCTTCGCCGGATGAATGTGGAAGGTTGTGCCTGTGCTTCCTCCGGAGTAGTTCGGTACTTAACTCGTATGTGATTCTTCTACGTGTAACATGCATGCAGCTCGATAGGTTTCGGACTGGGTATATGTACGTGTCTCTAGATTATGATATCGTTCGGCTCTTGGACTTGGAGGATTTAGACAATTACCGCGTGTGTATATATATACTCTACTCCGTATGTATGAATGGATGTATTGTATGGATAAATAGATGAATGTACTTCGCTGCCGGGAATGTACATACAAGTGCGGGGGGTGAGTTAGGGCTAGACTTGGCTTTAGTCCTAAGTAAGTCCAGTCGGGGGTCGGGTTGAGCGGAGGGGGGCGGATTATTATCCTATTATCCTATCTATCGTACATTTGTCTCTGGTAGGCTTATCGGATTCTCTAGAGCGTCTAGACTGCGAAGAGAGCGAGTACTAAATGTAAGATCCACAATCTTCTATAAATTCAGTGGCAAGTTTGAGAGACCCTTCAGTCGAACCGGGTTAGATCTATTACGGGTTCAGTCTGAGAAGAGGGGGGGGGGAGGGAGGTTTCGGAGGTTACCGATCGGTCGTCGTGCTGGTAATGTAGCCATGGAGCCCCTGGGGGTGTGTTCCTGGGACTGCTAGTTTAAGTTTGGTGACTTCTTGACTTGTTGGGGAGAAGGGGTGTAATATACAGAGTAGGTTTATATGTACTGAGTGTTTTCTGGGTATGCTCGGAGCGGGGAGGACTAGTTTCGGGCGTGGAGGTTTTAATACGATCTGGGAATGCTTTATATCATGATACTTTGTGAAATAGGGTGGAAGGTAACAGTACCAGCTATTTTCTTAAACGCTTAAGTCTATCTATGTTTTTCTACGTATCCTTATTACCAAGTTGATTTAGTTAGCACTGGCAAATATATATAGGTTTATCCATACGTACCTGTTACTCTACAATACCGTAGATTTCCTGTGCTACAGTAGAAAACAAAAGTATGGCTAGACCGATGAAATCAAAAAGCTAAGTCAGAAATAAATAACCGATTATGTAGAGTAAGTTGCCCAAAGGTGAATAATCCTGTTCCTTAGGTCAGCTAACATCACTGCGCCACATTCATGCTAGAAGCAGAGTACGAAGGATCAGATCAAGCCTGGCTGCCCTGCTCCAAACATCATCATCATCATCAAAGATTTTATCTGCTCGTATGTTCGTACTGTTAAAGGCCCACAGGAGGTACCCTCCTAATCTCTCCCTTTGCATAAAATTTAGATCTTGGGATTTCTAAAGCTGCTGCATCAATAAAATAAGATACTGTCATTCATAATTCAGAATGCCCTAGATCGCACCTGTATGGCATACCGCCGTTACACTATACTTCACGTGGACATAACTGCAATAAATACACGAATTCTAGCAGGCAGGCAACTCTATATTCTGGCCGCATAGCAATGACATCTGTGGATTAATGCACCGAATGTCTGGGCACTCTGAGAGTATGTACGGTCGAATCGTCAGCATGGGTAAGATACTGCTGGATATGGGTTTTGGGCAAGGTACAAGATTATTTCTCTATTCATTGTTCCCGAATCCCAGTAGCTGTGGAAAATGAGCTTGATAACACATCGATATAACGTACATTCTAAGCTAGGTTGTTATAACGTCTTAGTGGAACTTGATTTCCTTTTAGTTCTGCTGTCAGATGGATGGGCCTTTCTAAGAAAGTAGACTTCGCGTGGGATATAAACGTAAGCACAACGGCATTGCGGATAGTCTATGTATGCTGCGGAAACACAAGGATCAATTCAGTGGAAGGGAAAGGGAAAAAAACATAAAAGTCAGAATAAATCCTACTAAGAACAACAGAATAAGATGAACAAAACGCGCTACCTATGAGTTATTAGAAGAGTAAAAGAGTAAACGTTGTGAGCCTTGAAGCCACCTGATGGCGTTTTGCGTGTCTTCATGTTCTTTACCAAGAATTTCCTTTCTCCCTTCTGCTACCAGTCGGAATGTTGTTCGCGCTGCCTTGTATTTTTCTTGTTTGTATAGCGAGCGGCCAAGCCATTGGGCCGACTCCAAAGTGTCCTTGCATAATCTCCCCAGTGTTCTCTCCCTTCCTTCTACCACTTCTTGGAATAGTGGCTCCGCCACCTTGTATTTCTGAGACTTATACAGTGTACGGCCAAGCCAGTAAATTGACTCGAGTGTATCCAAATGTTCCTTCCCGTAGACCTTTTCTCGTGCATCTGCCACCCTTTGGAACGTCTGCCTTGCTGCATAATACTTCTTCTGCCCATATAGTGAGCAGCCAAGTAGTTGAATGGAGGTAAGTGTATCTGTATGTTTTTCCCCGAGTGCTCTCTCACGCCCTCCCACTACCTGCTGGAGCAGGGACTCTGCCGCCTGGTATTTCCTTTGTTTGCTTAGCGAACGGCCAAGCCAGTGGATGGAGTTGAGGGTGTCAACATCATCTTTCCCAAGTGCTTCCTCTCGCCCCTCTACCGCCTCCCGGAATGCCAGTTCTGCAGAATCATATTTCTCCTGCTCATACAGAGAGCGGCCACGGCCATGGATAATGCTGAGTGTGACAACAACGTCTTCTCCAAGAGGTTTCTTTGGCATTTCAGTCTCCGGATGACGTGCCAGCTCCACCACTGCATGCTTTGTACTATCACACAATAAAGCGCTGCAAGCTTGCTGTATAGTGTTATCTATAGAAGGAGAGAAGGTGGAGACTGCGGGTGTAGACTCTAAGAGGAATAGTCAGTGGGTGGCCACCATTAGCGGGTAGCAACTTGAACTGTTCCAACCAAGCAGATCAGGTTCACAGGGGAAGGTAAGAGTACCTCCTTCACTTGGTGATGGGAATGCATACTGGGTATATCTGTCTTATCATTGACTGGGTTGCACTGCTGCGTAGTGTGATTCCCCGATGTCTCCGATAATAGTTCTTTTGCGTATGCAGCTGCCACCATGGCTGCATATCCCTGCCATTGCTTATTCTTATGGGAGTCTGAATAATCACAGATGCCTCGAATAACGAGGCAGGGAAAGTGGTCCATTAAACCTGCCGCCTCCATCTCGAAGCACAGAATCTGGAGTTCTTCTGCTAATCGGTCCCGCGTCCCGCCATGTTTCATCACTTGATTGGCAGATGCAATGAGTCCATAGTGAACTTGCGGGTCTTTAGAGTTCCGCACAGGCCTGGAGACCAATTGTGATCTGTCGCACCGAGAACAGTCGGCAGTAGAAACTTCATGTTCGTATGTGGATACGAAAAGCTGATCGTGCTGTTGCCCAGGGTAGCCAAAAGTAGCAGCCGCGACAGGATACTGTGTGAACACCTTTGTAATGATGTTGGAAATACCGTTGATTCCAATAATATGGTTAGACTGTAGGTGCGAGATTGCAGTAAGAAGAACATGTGGTGGCTTGCTCAAGGCCCCTGTCCGTTCGAACCGCCCAGCTGCGATGGTCTTGCCAAAATCATACTGTACTACGCCATTGAAAGTATTTGTTGGCTTGCTGACCACAATATCGCCCAATCGGACATCTGCAGATACATTCGGCACTCCTCCTCCAATTCCCACCATCAGCCCAAAGCGGACGGAACGAAACGTGCATAACATCTGGTCGGCCACCACTGCAGCGGAAGTAGTCCCGTAGTCGCCAAACGGAAGGCATGCAATCACTACATTGTGACCATCGATATCCCCAAAGACGTAGGTATTGTGATCGTATCTGGCCTGGGAGAGTTTGGGATGGATGTTGTCTAGCATGAGCTTGGCCGCAGCCATCTCGAGTGGCAAGGCGCAGATCCACCCGACGGTGTAGTCATCATGAGAGAGCCGTATTGGTGTAGTCATACTTATGGCTCTATTGTGCCGTGAAATCAGGCATATGATATAACCCTTATAAGCGTCGGCGAAACCCTTCACGAAGTATACCAATAGCAATAAAGACAATCGCTATCGGCAATCCTTGTAAGACCCATCATGTGGGCTATTCCTTTAAGCCATTACCATTAGTGAGTAGCAGACCAACACAGGCCAGCTTTGGCGTCAGGGAGGCTGTATGACATGGAGGTGAATGGTAAGCACCGCTTGACAAGGCGCGGGGTAAATCAGTCACGTATACAGCACGTGATATATAGGGCAGAGGCTTTGGGCAAGACTTTGAAGAGGAAGCGAATAAGAAAAGCGCAATTCATACAACTGTAGTTTCAAAACGGAGTTAAAGAAGAAGAGTAGTGCTCCCCCCTCTTTTTGTTCAATTATGCGTAGGGAGAACTATGAGGAGCAATTTTGGGGTAGATTGTGATAATGTGACGATGTTTGATCGGTACATCCTGTATACCATCCAATAGCCAAGGGACTTATAGTTAAATATCATGGTTCTTGCTTATGTAGCTGTAATATCTTTTGAATATTGCTAGCTGCTTCCGATCACCTTCTCTAGTGATGTTAAACTTACCTAGATTTTATAGATGCATGTTATATGCCACTCAAAACGATATTTGTAAAAAGGGCCGCATATATACGAAGGGCTAGCACAATAAATGATGATACTTAGCTGTCAAGGCATAGCTAAGCACAGGACACAGATGGTAACAGGATAAACTAGTATTCGCCGTTTGTACCGACAAGACAGAGTAGTAATTGCACGTTTTTAGAGCAAAGCTCTAAATCAAGTGATAGTATAGCTTAACCTATATCATACCATACCCTACACTGCAGGATGTTTACAATAATCACAATCAATACATCTCATCGTTATCCATTAAAGACAGCAACCCAAAGATACACAACCACAGTAACCCTAGGTATTGAACCCTCAAACTCCCGGCCGATTACATCACCTATATCCCGACTCTAGGGTGCAACCTAACATAAAGACCCGGCTTATTCCAGAGAATATACGTCTCCTGCTGATTCCAATTCACGCTCCTATCGTCCAGCTCCAGATCGAAATTGTAAAGCACCCGAGCCAGAATAAGACGCATCTCGGCGTTGGCCAAACTAAGACTGATCAGCAAAAGATTACAAGAGGACAAGGGAAAGAGAAGACGTACTTGCGTCCAATGCAGTTCCGGGGCCCGAAGCTAAACGGCTGCAGCACAGTTTTGCTATCGTTGGTGAATCGAGGATCGCCCAGGAAGCGTTCTGGGATGAATGACTCCGGCTCTGTGAAGTTTGATTCTGAGTGGAATGCGGCGAGATGTGGGATGGATACGATGGTCTGGATATATATCAGTAGGGTGGCTTGTAGAGATTATCTAGTGTTATTGAACCTACCCCCCCAGGAACCCATTTCCCAGCGATCATATCACCATCTGCGTCGACAATTCTGGGTAGTCCTGTAGGAGCGGGCGGGAAGATCCGGAGGCCCTCCGTCAACACGGCATTGAGGTATTCGAGCTGGTTACAAGCAGCAACAGTGATATCCTTTTCACTCTGGAACGAATTCCTGATTTCCTGCTGCAGCTTGCTCAGAACGCGCTCATTCTGCAGCAGATAGTAAGTAACGGCCGAGAGCAAGGTTGCTGTCGTTTCAGAACCGGCAACAATCATGGTGCTGCCGTTCGTGACCATCTCGTCGAAACTCATCGCCCGCTCGGTGTCCTTCTGTTTCAGGATGTGTCCGAAGAAATCCATCCGGTCGTTGGACTTGGCGAGCCGGCCCTTGACCTTCTCTCTCGTGAGCTCAATATGCCACTTTTTCCCATTCGCTATGCGTGTAGGCGTGATAAGAGGGAGAAGAAAGCTGGATCCGGGGAAGCGTCTTGCTAAGTTTCCATACGTGCCGGAGCGGATGTGGTTAAAGATCATCGAGACCCATGTGTGATACGCCGAGTTATGCAGGCAGTCAAACGGTTCCCCGAACGCCAAGTCCCCGATAATATCGAAGGTGGTGAAGTTGTACCATGCAACCATGTCGAGGGGTTTGGTACCGGCGTCGCAGTGCTCGTGCAGACGCTGGATCAACAGGTCGATGTAGCCATTGACGAGCGGCTCTTGGGCACGCAACGAGTTCTCGGAGAAGGCATGGGACAGCGTACGTCGGAAGCGCGTGTGGTCTTCATCGTTGGAGAGAACGATACTGGGAGCTCCGCCTGCTGTGGGTGGATAGAAGCGCACATCCTTCGGCTTCTGCCGATGTCCGGGTCGAGTGCCGTATATTGCCGTCCAGGCTTCGCCGTTGATGAAGGATAGTTCGTTGGGAGCAATGCGGACTACTTCCCCGTACCTGTGGTGGAGATCCTTGATAACCTTGCCGGTTCGGCCACCGAGTAAGTCGTGGAAATATGGGATTCGCGTCGCCGCGTGTGACTTTGGGCCAGGGAACTTCGCCAAAGGATGAAAGTAAATGTTATAAATAATAACTACGAGGAGGTAGAGAATGCTCTGTCCAGCTTAACTCAGCAATCTGTCTCTTGGTTCCCGTTCACACTATAGAGCACTCACCAGTAGCACACCCAGACCGAACCAGAAACCAACAGCTGCCAGAGGCGAGCTGAAAGGGCCTGAAACAGGTAAAGAAGAGAACATGACTATCGTGAATAAACGAATACTTTGTATAGCAGATGAGGTAAGCTTCATAAACAGCCTTGCGTAGTATTTATATACCCTCGGATTGCTACATACCATCATGAATTCTAATGTCGGACAGGCCACATAACCACGTAATGTCGTTTAGAATTGAATACCGATGGTTGGACTGTGCAATTGCCGACTTCCGCCAGTGAATATCTTTCTATGCAGGCGAATGAACTGTTATTTTACATTGCGGTGAATTATGCATTGATGTGCGTACTCGGCGGAGAAAAGGGTGGGGAAAGGCAATGCCAAGCCAGACTTGTTGAATATCCTCACTCTTCTGCGTTAGAGGTAAATTAAAGATATGGGAGAACCTTTCTTGGAGTCTATCTCTTCGTACAAAGCGGAACACAACCGTCTCCAGCCTTCTACATGGGAGAGAGGATCCGAGCTCACTGAGATACATAGGTCGTTAGCAGATAAGGCTAGAATCTCTGGGAAACTATTGCCGGCACATTCATTGGCCGAGGGCATGGAGTACATAGGTGTCGTCGTGCTCGTTTTACTGAAGATCTGCACTAGAGCCATAAGTCCGGGGTTAAAAAAAAAATTAAAACACTCTGAAGAGGTAAGTGTAACTATCGCTATGCCATAGGGCTACCTCAAGCAAGGCCACTGTTTCACAAGCGAGAGGGAGAGGCTATCAGCTTCGCTGTCCTTTATAGTGACTCACTGGAGGACAAATGACGCGGATGGGAGTATAATCTACCGTGAGCCGTGAGGGATTCACCAACCTATGGCCTGGTTACTCATATGACGTTTCCCTGTAGAGTCATCTGATAGCATAATTATACTGCTGCTGGAGGGTGTTTGGTCTTGTTCGGTTTATTCGGGGAATCTTGGCAATGTATGCTCCGAGCACCGACATGTGTTGTAATGTTTCACCAGGAGAGTTAGGTCTGAGACACGACGCGAGTATTGAAAGATCTTACGCTGTATGGATATTCGATTACCAACAATAATCAATCTACACTAGTATTAACTATGACTGCAGCGGATATAAGCGGGAAAGTGCTTACCCACAAGTTGATCTGGTTATCTGCAGATGTAGCTATTAAACACAGCCCTTGGTACGTCGGGCCCGGTCGTTCACTTTACCTGCCATTATTAACTGCTGGTGATGGATAGATTTCGGGAGCTATCTTGCCTCTGCAATAAACGACTACTAGTTACAATAACCTCGTATAGGGAAGCCGCGATTGATCTCAAAAGCGACTGCCTCGCAAGCTGAACAGTCAAAAGAAGGAAGGAAGGATTTCGATGACTATAGCCCAGATCCACGTAATTCCGTTGTAATACATTAGGACCGCTTCGTCTCTTACATGACATTGACACCTTCCTAGTCATGCGTATCTCTTCGAAGATCGGGAGTCGACTATTGCAGATTAAGCGACGGTGTTCTCAGTTTTCTTCATGTATTTTCTGTGGTAATGGACGGGTGATAGAAACGATGAAATGCAGGGCTATTTGAGGCCATTCTGGGTCAAGAGCATGAGTTAAGGATATTACAAGGCAGGAGTATTGAACTAAAAACTGGGTGGGCTCTACGGACTCAGTACTAGTACTATGGAACACCGTGAACAAAAGTGATTCTCCGATATAATCAAGCACCTCTAAAACACCATATATATCAACTCTGCCATTGTGTTGTAGAATTCTATCGATCATAAACCAAGATATATCCAGGTTGCGTCTCCCACTATTGATCATCTGGGAATGGCCACATTGCGCTTGCTTCGCTAGCGGACCTTTCTTCAGCCATTCGTTCGATGTACATAGCAAGTAACTCCCTGTTTTGTCTTCGTTTCTCTGCGATATCCAACTGTGGAGCGATCCAACCCTCAGCATCAGTATCCAGGCATTCCAGAGCGAGTTGCTGGGCCTCGCTCCAGGCTTGGTATTCTGTAAATTCGCGTTCGTGCGCATTGATCTCGTTAGTACTGAATGAATAAGGGCATTCTCCGGTGAAACCGAGACTCGACCAGTTCCGATGGATTTCTATTAAACATTCTCGAAGTGGAACGGGGCCAACTTCAGATATTTCACCACAACGAATGAAAGTTTCTCGGAAAACACGAGGCACAGTATCCATGGCGTTATGTGCACGTTTGTTTTCAAGTATTGTCGCGACTTCATACCCCTTCGCTAGTTTAGACTGTGTCCACGCCCGTAGAGCAACCGCTTTATCGTCGTTATCAAGTTCACTGAAGTTGTCTGGAAGCTTTGGCTGTACAAGTCCTTTGACGTAGTTCTGTGGAGGTTTTAAAAATATCGGCCACTGAGCTTGAAGAAATAAGGGAAGAATTGAGATAGACTGAAAGTCAATTAGTGATGTTATTGTGTTATCGTCAGGCGCAACGAAAATATTGCCCATATGGAGATCGGTGTGCCATAGTGTAGGCTGCGCAAACTGGGCAAGTATCGGATGCGAGTCCATTATCCGCATGAGGTTCATTGTGATTTCAAGAAGCCGGACTTGCTCCTCGATATTTCCCTTGGTGGATGCTGGTCCACTGTTTGAGGGACGGCTCAAAATCCGTGACAGTTCCCGTCTCGCAATTGATATCCCATAACCCGATAATGTGCTCCCTATAATCCCTTAGTATGAGTACATAAACAAAGCCTAGGAGTACTCACAAGGTCCTTGGTCAAGTTCTACATTTTGGGGATGCTCGGTGCCGAAGAAACGGTCGCAAGACGGACCAATACAGAACAGCCTGGACGGATCTATATTCTCATCAAGCACCTGGCATCGCAAGTGCTTTGCATCTGTTCCACGATATAGTCCACCATAGGCAGGAAAATGAATAGTTGCAAGTTGAGACTCAAGCTTAGTCAAACTCCTTATCAAGCCAAGTTTCTCAATTTCTGCCATCTTTCCCCATTGCTCAAACAGCGGAACTCCTGCAGCCTTCTCCATAATGATATATTCGGCACCCACAGGATTTGAATTATCCGAAGACCAGGCAAACACGCGTGGAACAGGGATGCTTGTGTGCTTTCTCACTGACACCGTGGCATTAGATGTAAGCACTTTGAAAGCCCATGATGGCGGATACATACCATATTCGAGAATACCTACCTCGGACGCGGTTGTAAGAGAGGTTGGCCCAGCAATACGACTGGCGAGTTTTGCGATTATTTCTTTTCCATTTGCTTTTTTCATTAGAAGAGCCTTACTGAATCCTCCTTCGAGCTTCTCCACCGTTGTAATCCGAGACAGGTCCCCACCAGCGGCAGCGGCAATCTCACAGAGGGCATCGACGTTGAATTTTATATAGCGTCGACCAAGTTGCCATTGCTCGTTGACAAGAAAATGGCCATTGGTATATGCGAAGAGCTCTTCGTGGCTGATTGGTTTACCTAGATGATTCAGAAATGCCATTGGTTTAGGGGGATTAATCCGCTTACCACGACATAGGATGGATAGATTAGCTACTGACCCCCGATGCTGCTGCGTTCGTTGCAGACCCCTGAGGAAGGATAACATGACAGATAGTAGAGATCACATCAAGGGTTCGAAACCACTATGTATTGACAAAAGCAATTATCAGATATAAAGATGCAGATCAATCTCTGGAGGTCAGCCTCCATTCAACAAGGGCGACGATAGACAGAGAGGGAAAGCGGCGTGCTTGATGAGGCGGCCGTGTCGGTCCGACCTCCATCCCGAGGTAAGTCAATACCCAGGTAAACCTGCAGCAAGAAAGGGGTGATTTCAAGTCAGAGCCTGCCTACTTCAGGGTCGGCCCTGTTGAGGCTAGTTAGGGCTTTTTCTCTCGGAACCCTCAAGCACGTTCCGACATCCCAAGGTATGAAAGTCAGCACCCACACCAATTGTCTTAAGAAGGACATTTCCAAGCCATCTGGCACTAGTATCATTGGTAAGGAAACACTGAGCCTAATACGTCCAAAAGTGAACGCTCTAATGGCTCACTTAGAGCCGAGGGTGTATTAACAGAGAGCAACTTTCAGCATAAAGGAGGCTATACGACAGAGTCCGAGGGATACTAAAGGAAGCACGAGTCGTGCAATAATCACTAAGATACAAACAAAATGTGTTGCGAGTGAAAGTGACACCCAGGTTAAATATCCACAGATGCTCTTTGTGAGGGCTACAGCCACCGAGTGCTTATCAGCTGAGCATGTCGCCATGTCAAAGCTACTCATCAGGTGGATTTGATTCAGTTTTTTCTTTACCTCGATGCACATTAGTGCACACTTCAGAATGAGTAAAGCTCCTATATCGCCCCCAGCATGTTGGTCGGAGCTATTTGACGACGCCGTTGTTGTCATGATGTCCATCCAGTAAGGTATTCTCGCACAGGCTCAAATTGAGCTTTGGTGCCTTAATCAAGGTTGCTGCCGTGTGATACCTTATTGCAGTAGCATCGGGATTGGTTCTCATGGGCCACTCGGCAGCGTCAGACTCTTGAATAAAAATAACAGAAATCGAATTATTCTAGAACTAGAGTTCAATGAAGGATTAAAAGGCCCAATATCCTGAAGGCAGCTGTGTTGTAACGGCTATGGAAAAGCCACACGAAGGGGTCTAAATAGTCACTAAATTCTAGTTCCACTGCTGCAATCCATAGACTTCTAGACAATTGAAGAATTGATCACTTTAAACTCGCTTGCATAGCGACGATAGAATGGGAAGGCTATAGTGGATCCCAAATCAACCATTCGCTGGGCTCTGTAGTTCTCTTTCTTGACGTCGCGAGGCAGGATATTGCCGTATTTTGGGATGTTAAAAGTGGCAACGATATTCTGTAATTGTTCAAGACCCGCACTGCTCGGTGGTTCATCGGGGATAAAGTCCTTCACGACAGCCCAATAAATGTGGCTCCAACGCGGGTCGCTTCGCTCACGTCCGCTTGCTTCCCGAAGCTGCTCAAGCTAGGAGTCATTTAGATACATCCACCCATGGCAGCGCACGGCCCAGTTGCCATTTCCATGTAAGTCACATAGGCGGGCAAATGCACGACATTCGCTTCCAAAGGGGCTTATGAGGTGTCCAGTATTCTCATGAACCCGGTCTAAAGGCTCGAAGTTAAAGAACTGCACACCGAATTATGAAAGTTTATCCAAGTATTTAATATAGACCTACCAATTTGAGGCAAAGATATCTCCCCTTGTGTTTAAAGCGGAAAACAAAGCCCTGTTCACCCTTGCCCATGTATTTAGGCTTGGAGATTTTACCCTTGTAACCAATAAATCGTTTTAACTTGGGGTACGCTCGTTGCACGACTTCGTCAACGTTGGCAACGGATGAGGGGTCGCAGGTGGCTTCCATATTTAAAATGTCCTCCGACAAAAATAGGGAGCAGAGTAACTCGTCCTGGTGATCTTGTTGTTTAAATTGAGGCTGACCATCGTCATCCAGATTGGAGCAGTTGAGGCAGTCGTGGTCGCGGTGTGGAATTATTGATCGCTTGGAGCACATATATGCGGTCTTTAGAGGGGCCCATCGCGGTAGGTAAGAAAATGGGCATTGATAAGATGGAGAGGGCTTCTTGGAAAGGTGACATTGAATGGGAAATGTCTATGTTCATATCGCTATAGAATGTATAGACAGTCTGAAGGGCGTTGCTCACTGCCTGCAAGGGCTGCTGGTGGCCTAGTAGTTGCCTAGCTTCGTAAGCAGGTCCAGAGGTGGTTACAATCTCGCCATATCTATTCTCCCCTGTCATTCAAACTGGTGCGACTCTTGAATATATTCGATTTTTTCAAGGGTGAAATGATGATACTTACCTATAGGACAGGCTTCCACGTATGAATTGCAATGCATCTCAGGTACATTTAAAATTCTTTGTTGTCCTTAAAGGGCACTTGATGATCATGCACGAATTTCGAGGCCATTGGCGCAATGCACTCATGGAAATATATCACCGATATGATGCCTAACGAGTGAATATTCACCGCATATTATTTCTGACCACAGCTAGATACAGCCCCTTGTATCGCCTCAATGGCTCTTCTTGTCAATATTTTGCTTTGTACTGGTAACCTATATAGGAGATGTGCTCTGAGAGAGGAATACTAACAGAGGCAGACTCTTGTATATTTGGTTTTTTTTAAAAAAAGAAAAAAAAAAGGAATAAGAAAGAAAGAAAGAACAGGCCATTCGACTGGTACAGCCTACGAAGAGCAGAGCGTACATAATAACGGCCAAGTCTTGCGAGTACGCATGGACAGTTAAATGTAAGATACAGATTCAACAAAAGAACGTCGTTCTTCGTTCCTGTGGAGAAAGTCTGCGAACTTCCTACTGCCTTAACAAAACGCGAAGAAGAACGCATCTGCGCAAAGCATATCAAGGCATTCAGAAAACACATCAATCACACTAGAATGGACCGGAAATTAAGGCATTCGCTGTTCAATGTTGTCTGACTGCTTCTTACCATTGCCAGAGCCAGCTTGAAAAGGACCAGAAGCTTTTCAAAAAGAATCTTGGCAACACCTTTGATCGACTGCCCGATAGCATCAGTTATCATACTTCCTCTATCTCTGGATCATAAATTCTCAGTGGGTGGATTGTTTAGTTGTTGCATCTCCCAATCCCAAATAGCCTAATTATGGAAATCAGCAATCTCATATCGCAAGCTTGGGCGTCCCCCACACGAGCCCCAGGCAGCAAATAATACATAGGACACAAGACCTACCCAGTCAAACATCTCAAGCGGACAGTCCCCGTTAAGAATGTCCTGAAAGGTTGTGTATGGAGAGGAAGTCGCCTCTATTGTGGCTGCCATCTGGTCTGCGAGTTGGGAACTGGAAAGCTCACTGGTCTCTGCTGCAGCAGGCTGGGAACAGCGTAATTCCTCACCTATAATAGAGTGGCCCATCTCATAGAGCATGGTCGCAACTCGCTCGGCTGCCTTTGCAGTCTCGACTGACGGCCGCGGAGTATTTTTCAGACTCAGATACGTTTTATTAAGCAATTGGATGAGCTCCGCCCGCGTATTTTCGGAGACGGCCTGAGCGCCCTTTGGCTCATTGAGCACATCCAGACATATTACCATGGCAGCAGTCAGGCAGTCAGAAACTGAGTGAGATGCTCCGAACCAGGACCGCTTTCTGTTGCCAGGACGACGCAGAATGTCTTGAAACAGCTCGCATTGATATTCAAGAACGCACCGGGCAGCGTCGACGCACGCCCAACGGAAGGTTTCGTAACCGTTCGTCATTCGCGGAGACACCAGGTACTGGCGATGTAAGATGCAGCGGGAGCGCTGATAGATCATCTCTAACGTGTGCTGCATGATCGTGTTGTCAGCCTGGTTGTCTGAGGCCTTTTGTGTATGAGCCATCTTCAGTGGACCGGGGATACGGTCTCTTGCGGCTTTCAATTCCTCGTCTAGACATGCAGTTCTCTCTGGTGTGATGGTCCCGTTGGAAGTGATATCTGCGATCTTATCGGCGACAGACAATATATCATCTAGCGTCAACATGTACGTGATACGGCTTGGGGGCTCCGTTTCAGGTCGTGAAGGTGGGAGGATTGACATGGCGGGATCTAGATCCTCATCCAATAGATTGTGCGGGCGAGTGAAGTCCCCAAGCCCTTGATAAATTACTCGGGGCAATCCTGTGTGTGACGCTACGACAGAGTCAGTAACCGATAGGAATAACCAACTCCGACGGCGCATCTCCATCTCAAAGGTTCGCAGTGGAGGATGGCATAGGTGAGTACTTCGATGATATCCCATCATAATGGCCAAGCGCGAAATAATTCCAAGCAAAAGAGAAACACCGGTTTTCGAGTCATTACATCCCAGGTACTCGATGCCCATATACATTAGTGCTGCCTCCACCTTGTAGTGCCCAGGAGCGGTGATGTCCGACTTCGCTATCGAAATGGCGCACTTTTCCCGCAAAAAATGAAAGAGGTCAGGCACTTCTGATCCTACCATGACTGAGTTCATTGTATGTTCAATCCAGGCACCGCATGATAGGACGCCATAAAGAAGGGCAAGCCAGGCGGGACTAGCTGTGGAGGGAGACTGCCAGAATTTTCGATACTTTGCTTCTTAGATAGGGTTGCGACAACATTTGATATAGAGCCAAACTGTACCTGGTGTTGAAATGTAGCCGGATGTATGAAGACTTCGACCGAAAGTCAGCTGCAGTGACTGATGGAATTCTTGTTAGAACGTACTCAGCGCTGGTTCTTGAGATTCCAGACACAAGAACACTAGTTTGTCTGCGAGTCGACGAGTTGGCAATGAAGCCACAAGGTCTCTCATGTCGACATTGCGTGAGAGCCCTGATAATAGTACTGGGGCAGACGATTCATCCTTCCGTTGGAGTAATGCTTGTTCTGGGTGTCCCAGGTGTCCGCCGATATCTGCCGGACGTGCTTTCACGTAGCGACAGAGCTTCCCCGAATTGCGCTTCTGGCAGTTTAGACAAGGGAGGGCGCGGTTGCATCTTAGTCTGGATAAATGGACGAAGTCATTTGTGGGTCTCCGGTTCATACATGGATACAGCCAGCCTTACTTTTTCTCTCTGCACAATGTGCATGATTGCAGCACGCGAGGCTTCTGTTGCCGTCGTTTCCGATCCACGAATGGATAGCGTGAAACCGGAGGGTCCATAGCGACGTAAACTGTGGATGTAGAAGCGTGAAAGGGAAGGCTAAAAACGGAAGGTCTTGAAGATGATTCGGATTTCTTGTATGTAACTTTCGGATTTCTGGTAATTTTCAATGTTGTACACCGGCTAAAAGCGTGGGCCCTCACCATTAAGGAAATGATCTTCACTGATCACTGATATTGCCTTCAATCTGTGTACAATTGACAATGAGAAAAGACAACACTGTATGTACATAAAAATTATCCTTAGAACTTACTACATTGTCTGATTCTATCTTCTCCTGTCGATCTGTAGATATTTAAATGGAAAAGCCCCCCCTTTAGTAGCGTAACACAACTCAATTCGCCTCCCACATTCTGCAAACTATCATATCAATCCTAGTATGGCGAGCCCTAAGCCAAAATTCCGCGTGGTGATTGTGGGCGGCTCTATTGCAGGGTTGACTCTGGCTCACTGTCTGCTGAAAAACAACATTGACTTCGTGGTACTTGAGGCTCATAGTGAGATTGCACCTCAAGTTGGTGCCTCGATTGGCATTATACCCAACGGTGCTCGCATCCTGGATCAACTGGGCCTGTTCGATGACATTTTGACCACCACGGAGCCCATGCGGGAGTCGTTCTTCTGGACGGAAGAGGGAAACCTGATTGTCCGGAATGACACGCCGCAACTCATACATAAGAGGCATGGTTATCCTATTGCATTTGTTGATCGTCAGGTCGTACTCAAGGTCCTCTACGATCATCTTGCGCAACAGCAAGACCGTGTTCTTGTGGGCAAAAAAGTTATCAAAGTCGAACATTTGCATGGAAAGGTCAAGGTTCACTGTGAAGATCATTCGGTCTTCGATGGTGATTTGGTAGTGGGAGCTGATGGGGTACGGAGTATTGTTAGACGGCAAATGTGGGACTACATGGACTCTAGGGGTCTTGAAAGAGAGGCGCTGGGAGAAAGAAATGGTATGCTGCTCCCCTTTTGCACTGTACTTGATCCTGTTATGCGGGCGCCTGTTGTCGACTGACTGACCTAACTTGCAAACCATCTGGCGTATAGCAATGACGTCTGAATATAGCTGTGTGTTTGGCATCTCAACAGCCGTCAAAGGCTTGACCCCTGGAAGCGGACACCGAACCTTTGGCAAGGACTTTTCGTTCCTGACTCTGGTCGGTAAAGAGGGTCGGGTGTACTGGTTCTTTTTCACCAAGATGGATCGAGTCTACTCCGCCTCTGAAATCCCGCGGTTCCACCAGAGCTCGATTGACGAGCACGTTGCCCCCTACCTACAAAGGCCAATCCGCGATACCGTCCCTTTCGCTGCGGTGTATGAGAGAGCTATAACCCGGACTTTCCTAGCATTGGAAGAGGCTGAATATAAGCATTGGGCCATCGATCGGTGGGTTTGTATTGGAGATTCTGCTCACAAGGTAATGCCCCCCTTTCCTGGGCGAGCCCTTCGTTTGGCAAAGTTCCTAACATCTTATGACAGATGACCCCAAATATGGGGCAGGGCGGAAACAGCGCCATTGAAAGTGCCGCATCCCTCGCCAATAGTCTGGCTAGCTTGATTGAGGCCTCCCGTGATTCTAGAGTCTCAGCAAAGGATCTAAACGACTACCTGCAGCCGTGGCAGACGAAACGCCAGGATCGGGTGAAGGACATTTTCAAGAAAGCCCACGAGCTCACTCGACTTGAGGCATTGGCTACGTGGAAGGAAAAATGCATTGCACTCTATCTTTTCCCATACCTCACCAACTACCTAGCCGATGGGGCATCCAAGACTATCGTGGGTGCCACAAAGCTCGACTGTGTACCACTACCACCGAGATCATTGCAGTGTACGATGCCATTCACCAACTTTCATCCGCCTCGGGATGACCCGATCTGGAAACGGGCCCTGTGGACGCTACCATTGATCGGGATATACGCTGTTGGAAGAGCCACTGCACTCCGGGTAATTTTGAACACTCGACCTCATTTGTATCCACTCTTTAAGGAAGGAACATGGACGGCAGGTAATGGAGAGACCCTTAGTTTAACCAAGCCCCTCTACCATAACCTCTTCCTGGACAAGTTATTCAGGCCTCTGATTACTTGCTTTTTGCCGTCAATCACGGGGTCTGATCTGAATTCACGAGTCCAAATGCTTTCATTCATGACAGATCTGGGGACTGTATATGGAATTTGGCTATTGGAGAGCTATCGCAATGCTCACTCCTGGGCCAACGTCCTTCTGTAAGTGTAACCCGCATACCCAATGTATAGTTCCACAGCTGACACATAGAAACCATGCATAAGCCCCTTGACAGCGGGTACGATATTCCAACTAAAGGGGATTTGGATGGTTGCTCCATTCTATTACGCCCTGGAGTACTTGATAACACCACTGTCCACTCTACTGTCAGACAGCAATAGCAAAGGCATCGATGCTACCACCGCAGAATCGCTGGTCCTGTCGACGTTGGCCGGATATTACTCCACCACCTTTGCCAACTTCTTTGCACCGAGTCTTCAATCACGCCAATGGTACAATGCGATGTGGCAGGTCTTCCCCGTAACAATCCCTCTCCTTCAGGTCCCCTTCTCACTTGCGAGACGGTGGCTCTCCCCCTCTCCGCCACCCAAAGAAAAGACAGACAGAAAGCAACAGCAGAGAAAGAGAAGACAAAACATCCGCTACGCGTACGGGACATTCGCTCTGATCTCAGGCCTCACATTCATCTATGGCCGGCTCACAGCGCCACCGGGCGTTTCGTTCTGGAGTAATTTCGTCCCGAGTCTGCGGGATCATTTGGCCCCTGTCACGTCTTTCAGTGACGGGATCGCACGATTTTTGCAATACGACGAAGTGCTCTCCATGGCGAGTGCGTATGTATGGCTTGCACTGCGTTTCCGCGAGCTAAAGCGGGCGGGGGCTCGGTTTTCTTGGACTCGAGCTGGGAGCGCTTTCATTGCGTCTTTGTTGGCTTTGGGACCGGGAGCGACGTTTGCTCTGGGATGGGGGTGGCGCGAGGAGCTCCTGCACCAGGTGGCTAAGGAGTGATAGTTCTCTCTCTGGATTTTCCTTAACCATCGCTGATCCTAACCCCTAAGCCTAAGGAGGGGGTGGGTTGCTATGTGCTGTATACTAGGCTAAGGCTTTTTCCCCTCACACTGCAATACGGGGGCGGTGGTATGTATTATATACTAGATTTAGCACATTGGTTTAGCTATAGACGGAAAATAGATCACTGTACTTTAGACCAGGTTCCTTTTCGTGGATCCTGCAGATGCTATAGATTCGTACTGACATACTTCTCTTCTAAACCAAAAGTAGTCAGCCCTGGTAATAATCGTCGTCGTCAGAATCCAAATTAGCATTTGCTAAGGGGTAGGCAGGATCCACTAGATTACCTGGCTATGACACTACCTTTCTGTGATATAATAGTATTGATCTTATCTGTACATACATTTCATCATTTGTGTTGTTGTGTGCCGATAGATATTCTTCATGCTCAGTTTACCCACTGAATGCCGGCATTCGGACACCCGCCTACGGTGAAGACTTCAGCAACGTGAGTAGTTCACCGGAGATGACGATGGAAAGAATATTAAGGTTTTAAAGGAGTTACGGAAGGATAGCCATTCTGAAGCCCTAAAACTAGTGGGAAGAGTCTAAATCTTTACATACCCAACTTTTGTCTGCTATGATGGTGAAGATCACCCTACCTTGTTTGCAGGTGGTTTTGACTCAGTGCACTCGAGGAACCCTGAGTCCGTGGAGGCGACGTAGAAGTACACGCAATGGTACGAAAAACATGGGGAGTAAAATGGAGAAGCCGGAGCAGAGGTTGGAAAGAGAAGGAATATATAGAGAAAGAAGTACACAGAAAAGGTATCTATTTAGCCACCGCGTCATTGTAAACTAGTAGGTCAAAAGTCTGAAGACACCCGAAAAAATCAGAAAAATGCAACAACTTCAAACTCAATTTTCTCAACCATTTCAAAAGATATCGATCTACAAATTAGTTCTATAGAGTCCCCATATCAATACTTTGTATACCAGCCATGTGCCCGATATACTGCCTGAAGTCTGCGAGGCATAGATAGAATTAAGCGATCTATGACCTCTTGTGGGATAGCCCACCAGGCCTCCCTAATATGCCTTTTAAATAGGGTCCAGTCGATTTCTGACCTTCCGCCTAGAAAGAGCATAGGGTAGAGTTCTAAAAGCTTGCGTTTTAGTAGGGCCCAGATATGCTCTATAGGATTTAAATCAGGCGAATGGGGCGGCCATTCTAGGACCCAGATCCCGTGGGATTCAAACCAGTCCTGCGCCTCGTAGGAAATATGAATTTTTACATTATCCTG